TTAGAAACAGTTTTAAATACCAATCAATGTTAGAGCAAAACATTCAAGCTTCAGCTAGAAAACGGGAACAAAAAAAAAAACCCAACAAACCTCACATCATGACTTCCCTTGAGCTCCCATTTAACATGAGTTTTACAGTGCTTGGTTAATTCTGAACACAACAACATTCCAATTCTAAGTGGCTGTGTACACTTATGCAACCGCATTATCTCGGTTGTTCATTATGACTTCCCCCCTCAAAAAGATTTATTTTTTTTCAAGTGAGTTGGATAGGTTATATTTTAAATTAATGGTGGAAAAGGTTTTGGAGTGAATTAGCTTTATCTTTTTTTTTTTTTATACATCCCAAAAATTTGATTTACCTATTTGAATAGCGGTGTGTAGACTTTTAACCCTTTTGGGGACAGCGGTTACTACAGTAGACAGCTTATCAAGACAGACAGACACACACATACACACACAAACACACACACACACAGAGTTCCTCACATCATTGTACAGTGGTTGAAAGAAGAATGAGAAAGCTGTCTTATTGAAGTGATTATCCCCAAGCTTACTATACTAGTGAACATGTGGTATTCCGTGCGGAGTGTGAACATGAATGTGTTGAAAACAAACCAATCAGAGGGACAAACACCAGTGAAAGCATGTCACCCATATCGTTGCATGTAATTCATGAAGCTGATTTGAATAATGCTTCACACACATTTGTCCAGGATAATTATATTGATGATGGATCATTTTTAGCGAATCGTGTGGTTGTGGTTATAGAGGGCAAGTTAAAATATCCTTACTAATTATCTGGGTAGAATAATAGTCATTCACATTTTTGGTTTTTGATTTTTGAAGGCCAAAATGAAAATGGAAAGAACAAATAATGTACAGAATCTCATCTTCCTGCTTGTTGATAGTCCTCTCGCGAGCCTCTCATTTCAGGCTTCAAGGAGGACGAAGCTTAAAGTGATCTGTGACTTCGGACCGTAGACACGGTCTATAGCCAACCAACTACACAACTACACAAGAAGAATTTGCACATGTGCTGGCCAGATGTGAATACATTTGTGGAAATCATTTTAACTGGAAATAAGGAATACACAAATGCCCCAGTATGTGGAAAACAATGACTGAAGCTATACAACTAGCGCTAACTGAGTCTCGGTATGGCGGGACTTTAGGGGTTTCATTCATCAACGGGTCACTTGGGTGCAATTTGCGTTTTTTTATGGCCCAGCAAGACCAGTTCAAGGGAAGACAGCCAGTCCATGTGAGGAGATCTTGCGGAATGGCCAACAGTCTGACAAGGGACCAACATCGGCTCATTACTGGCTAGTTCCATCCATAATGTAAGACCTGGCAAGACTCCCACCAAGGTTTGTTTAACTATGGCGCACAGAGTTTATGACTGGTTTTATGAACCTAACCCCGACAAAAGCGGGCTCGACTCACCTTTACTTGCTTCGGGTATGCTTTCAAACAACAGTGCTGGCGAACATAGCTGTCCTGTGTGTACCTCTCAGAATGTGGTAAAGGTAAAATGTTAAAATGTTGTTAGGGTGGTTCTGTTTGTGACCAACAGGTGTTACTGTAGAGCTCATCCTGCAGTGGCACACCTGTTGGTCATTGTGTCATTAGTTAGTGTTATGTTAAAAGGACTTCCTGCCCGACCAGTCGGTGTCAGATAATTGTGTTTGTCACTGTGTTTGTGTCTGCCTGAGTCTGTATTTTTGTTAAATACATCCTGTTAAGTCCTCCCTGCTTTTTGGGGTTCAATTACTCGACCACCAGGAAAAACCTAACAAATAGTACTACAAACCAACAGTTTTTCAATGGAAAGGCAACACACCTGATTCAATCAATCCAATCAGCAAGATCTGCAGGGGGCCTGATCGTTTGTATCAGGTGTGTTGGAGGAGGGTGACATCTAAAACGTGCAGGATAGTGGCCCTCGAGGACCAGAGTTTGGCACCTGTGCTGTAGATGAAGTGCTGAATGTTCCAAGCAGATCAGCAGAAGCTTATCCATACTTTTATCTCCAATAAACTAGGTTATTGTAATGGTGTTCTGACTGGACTGCCTCAAAAGAGCATCAAACAGCTGCAGCTCTTTCAGAATGCTGCAACTCGGGTTCTGACCACAACACCAGAGATCAGAGCATATTCCTCCAGTCTTAAATTCTTCCAATAGTGTTTAGGCCAGCAGAGGTGGTTGAGTGATTGGTGATGTCCAGTGGCTCGAAACACCCATTTCATACATTCCTTGTTTAAAACTGCAGCTGGCACCTCAATGGCCAAGGGAATGCTTGAAGTCAATGAGTAGACAGGAAGACAACCGTAAACGCAGAACCTTGAAGTTCTGCTGCTCTGAGCCCTGAGTCGTACACCGTAAATGATGAAGTTGACGCATGAGAGCACCGCAGTGTACATTAGAAACCTCACACAGGAAGTACAGCACACGGCCTGAAATGTTTCATGACACATCGAGTATTATCAGGCTTCACCTCCCAGTAGGACCTCGAACTCTATGAATCAGCCTCCCTCTAAGGTCATTTATAATACAGGCAGCCACCAGCTGCGGGACACTTAATCTCTCGCAAAAAGGCCGTTTCTCCAAACCACTTGTGGCCGTAAGCTTCTGCTCTTCTCTGACCACACTTTAAATCATGTTCGCAACAAAGCACGCGTCGGCGCTCCTTTTCACATGGAGGGATATAATCTAATAAGGCCACCTCGGTGGGGACTCGTGGGCTTTGAGAGTCAGGTCACGATACTTAAATAACAGAATTTGGAAGAGGCAAATGGAAAGTTGGGGGCCTCTCTTTGGGCAACACTGGCCCCCCGAATCCTTGCTTATGGACTGCGGTTGCTTCAAACCTGGCGGGCAAAGACTGGGAGTCCCAAGTAGAGCGATAGCATACCACCCTGCCTTCATAATGCTTTAGGAATCTCTCCTGCACGATGACAGATGATGTCATCATTGATGTCGGAGGGGCGAGAATCCATACATTCCTCGCCTGTGATCGACTTCCAGACCTTGGCGCGTTTTTCGCAGCTGTCCTTCCCAAGCGCTCAACACCATCTGCAGCAGGAAAGCCGGCATACCGATTTACACCGAAAGGAGAAAATTATTTTTGAGCTCAGCTGTCGGTCACTGATTCGAGCGGGTGGAGGGGGTGGTGCCTTGAGATAGGAGTGACCTGACTTGAGATATGAGCACTGCATTGCAGCAGTTGACTCAACTCACCTCACAAGTGGCAGTGTAGCAGATATAATTAATATTCTTAAAACCATTTTTTGCCACTCTCATCTGAAGGTTACTGTCAAACTATATGTATACAAAACAAAAATGTTTATTTAAAACAACCACAAAGCAACCGCTACCTTAATGCTAACATACAATGGGAAATTGTACAGACATGTGAGATAACAATTAGCATCAAGGTACAATATATTTTTTTTCTCTCCAGAGTAGTTTGGTCTATCATTGAGTTCACCTGAGGAGTATTTTTCAATTTTTTAAGGTTAATCCCAGGGACCTGAAACAAGCGTTTTAATCAAGAAAACAAATATGACAGTTTAAAGACTGAAAATATGTGGGTTTTTTTTTAATATATAATCAACGGTTTTATTTCTTAAAATCATATTGATTATACCAGCAAACAGTATTTTCTTGTCTAGAATAAAAGCAAATATAATTTTAAAAAAAAGAGCCCTTGGCAGTAAAAAAAACAAAACAGTATGAGGTTACAGTAATTTGTTTGCTCCACACACTTTGTTGTTGGGTTGCGGATCTTTATCCATGCAATACGTGCAATGAAAATGTGTTATCAAAATGAAATATATAGAGTGAATGTATTTTGCACCTATTTTGTCCATTTTTAAAATAGTATTTTTGTCATACATCTGGTTATGAAGTGTGTGGTTCGATGTGCTCCCCACCCTGTAGTAGCACTGATGAGAACTCGTGGACTCCCTCCAGCATTTAAGTTGCCCAACCCTGCTCTACATTAGAGGCTAAAAACAGCAACAAGTCCATTTCGACTGAGGAGTAGAAAGTACAGATGTTTTCAAATGTAGGGTGTAAAAGTATAGAGTCGGCGAAAAAAAGTAATACTCAAGTGCAGACACCTGAAAACAAAAATCTACTTGAGTCCAACAACAAAGAATTTCTACTTCATTTCCTCCCATCATTGGTGCATGAAGAATACAGTATAAAATGATTCCCAGCATAATCACCCAAATTTCGAAAATGTCTTCAAAGAAACAACAAAGAAAAAGTTGTCCACCCTACAGGTTCTCTGGGAAACAGGAAGTATTTCAGCATGTTACGTTGCTCCTGGTCCAAGTGCCAAAGGATGACTGATTTGTGGGACGCTCTTTAGCAAACATTCCTGAGGGGAAGTTGAGAGGGACCATCATGCAAATCACCAGGTGCATGCCGAGACCAAACGACACAGGACTCCTGCCTCCCAAGTACTTCAAGATGCCTATCTGCTTGTCTGTCTGTTTAGACCACAATAAGGATGTATGCAGCATATCCATCTCCTGGAAATTCAATTCCATTATTGTTTGCAGGCAACGTGCGGGACATTTCAGCCCACACAAAAAATAACTTTTGTCACGATGTATGTATGTTCACGGTGTGTGTGTTGTTGTTTGAGTGATTGTTTCTCATCTGGCTGTGATGAAAAGATTGAAGGCGAATAGGACTTCACTCCCATGTGGATCCACTGCCCCCTGCTGACTACATAATGCACTTTTTGTTTAAAAAAAAACAACCACATACAAGCCATTTTTAATTCTACCATATAAACATTGCTACTGACAGTCCGGCTGGGAGGTTCCAGCACACCCACGAACGACCCTAACAGGGCAAGTGCTCGAGAAAATTAGGTGGATTTTCCTTTGCAATTTATTTCACATACATTCCGAATAATGTATGTCAGTTGTAAAAATGAAATCAATGAAAAGGCCATCAGGAATAAGCATGCATTTTAAAAGTCGATTGTTTTGTTGTTTTTATTCCCATTAACAGCAACTGCAGGAAATCTCAAACATTCATCATCAGAGGCTTGACATTAAAAAATAAATAAGTAAGAAAGCTCCTCATCTTCAATGTCATAGGTGAAATATACACAGCTAATAGTTCACAGAGAAATTATTGAAACTTGAGCCGGTTTAAAAATTTCTTTTGTTCAGACAATTTTTTTTTTGTCCAGTGGAGAGCTCTGATGAAGGCTGGAATGACAGCTGGAAACGTCCGCAAGCTAAGAGAAAAAAATATGTATCTGAACAAAAGAAATCTAAACCCTGGTATTTAAATTAAAAAAAAAAAAGACAAGATGAACGTTTTTGTGCTGGGAAACAAGAGCGGTCAGTGGTCATGAAAGCACATCTCCATTTTGTTCTTATTTCAGTTCAATGGGGCTTTACAAGTTTAGGTAACAGAGCCACTTTAATAAATACAGGTATGCTAGCACTGCTGTTAGGTGTGATGCTTTCTTTTAATAAGCCTACATGGCACAAGCCAAAACAAACCCTTTCCTTTAAAATAAAAAAAAAAAAAAAACAGCAGCAAAACCGTGTCCGATTTTACTTCGCGTGTCGCACTTTACTACATGTCACACCGCAAGCTCCAATGTTAGATCTTTTAGGTGCTCAACTTGAAACACTACATTCAATAAAACCTTGAAGGGATCGGCGAACATCCTAATGTTTGACTTTATGTCTTAACATCTGCGGTTACATTTCAACTCAACAGAATGGCTATAAAGATAGGGCAGATTCTTCTAATAAATAACTCAACAGCATTATACGATGGGGCGGATCAACAACAACATACGTGAGAGTTGTGTGCTGGGGGAAAAGAGGCAACTATGAATTGTGCGTGTTTGCTCAAAGCCACCGCACACCTGTGTCGGGATGCACAAGCGGCCGATAGGACGTGCTGAGGTAAACCCAGAAGAGGCTGTGACTAATAAAAACATGCTCGTGAGCCCTGTCGTAGTTGAGCGCCGCTCAGTTGTACGCTTCTCTGGATACAATCAGAGGCCAAGCATGAATAAGGCAGCCTTTAAAAATACTCAATACAATAACCCGTTACCACTCCTAAGACGGAAGGGTGGATTCAACATAAATATTTCCTCGAAACACAACAAGCTAAAAACATACACAAACCATAGAGTGGATTCTTTTAAATATGACCCACAAAAAAAGCTCTCAATAAATTATTATCACATTGAAATTAATCAAAACCCTTCTTCAAAATCTCAAATGGAAAAAAGTATCAGGACAAAACTTAAAAAAAAATATTAAAGAAGGAAAAAAAGAAAATTAGTCATTTAGTGCATTGAAAAAAAATGAATGACCAAGAATAAATTCATTTTATTGGGGGAATAAAGTTATCAATATGAGGAGAAAAAGTTGTATTTCGAGAATAAAGCCAGAAAAGTTGCCATGTTACAGGCCAAAAAAGCCGCAATGCTCCAAGAATAAAGTTGTTTTTTTGACTAAAGGCGTAATGTTGATTTTGATTTTTTTAAATTAAGTTATAAGGTTGGAAAATGTACCCTTTTAGAGGAATAATATTCAAGAATAAAATTAGAACGGGAATGGGGGAAAAAAGTAATAAAAGTACAGTAATAAAAGTCATTTTTCAAGAATCAACTTCAAAGTTAAGAAAAATGACAATATCACAACCATCGGAGCGTGTTTGCTCAAAGCCACCGCACACCTGTGTCGGGATGCACAAGCGGCCGATAGGACGTGCTGAGGTAAACCCAGAAGAGGCTGTGACTAATAAAAACATGCTCGTGAGCCCTGTCGTAGTTGAGCGCCGCTCAGTTGTACGCTTCTCTGGATACAATCAGAGGCCAAGCATGAATAAGGCAGCCTTTAAAAATACTCAATACAATAACCCGTTACCACTCCTAAGACGGAAGGGTGGATTCAACATAAATATTTCCTCGAAACACAACAAGCTAAAAACATACACAAACCATAGAGTGGATTCTTTTAAATATGACCCACAAAAAAAGCTCTCAATAAATTATTATCACATTGAAATTAATCAAAACCCTTCTTCAAAATCTCAAATGGAAAAAAGTATCAGGACAAAACTTAAAAAAAAATATTAAAGAAGGAAAAAAAGAAAATTAGTCATTTAGTGCATTGAAAAAAAATGAATGACCAAGAATAAATTCATTTTATTGGGGGAATAAAGTTATCAATATGAGGAGAAAAAGTTGTATTTCGAGAATAAAGCCAGAAAAGTTGCCATGTTACAGGCCAAAAAAGCCGCAATGCTCCAAGAATAAAGTTGTTTTTTTGACTAAAGGCGTAATGTTGATTTTGATTTTTTTAAATTAAGTTATAAGGTTGGAAAATGTACCCTTTTAGAGGAATAATATTCAAGAATAAAATTAGAACGGGAATGGGGGAAAAAAGTAATAAAAGTACAGTAATAAAAGTCATTTTTCAAGAATCAACTTCAAAGTTAAGAAAAATGACAATATCACAACAATCGGAAAATAATTTCCAAATCATGAGAATAAAATTAGATTCGGGGTTGTGTGTTCAAGATTGAAGTTGAAATGTTTGACAAAAAGAAAAAAAAAAAAAACAGACTTCATTAAAAAAAAAAAAGTTGTGTTATTGTTAAATAAGTTAGATCCATTGCAACATGTTTATTTAATCTAAAAAATTCCTACATCTGGACAAGCTATCGTGTTAATTTGGGAAAAAAACACTCATCGCTGGTCACATTTATCCTTTCAAGTATCTCATAAAAATTCAACCTCATTCTTGAATTGTTATGGGTTTATTTTTGAACTCCTACTTTTCGGCTCATTTTGCAAACCTTGATTTATTTTTGTTTCTACTCGGTGTGGCCCATCTTGTGTGCACACTCATATGTACAAGGAAATAAAAGCGACGGTCTATATTTACAAACACACGGCAGTCCCTGATGGTTTAAGGCCAAAGTGCTCGTGATGCAGATCCCACCCACATCACGTGTAAGCTGCTGCCTCAACTTTAGTGTTCCTCAGCTTGTACAATAATACTCAAGGCCTTTGCTCTAATGTCATTAACATTCACACATAGAAAAAAAAATCAGCTAACCTCAGCATTAAGAGCAAAAGAAGCTTAAACCTCAGCCCCTTTTTCGACAGTTTGTGGGTTCCTCTTGAAAAAGAAATATGTTTTTATATACATACACCAGTTCATGGGATTCCAGCGCAGTCGTTGGCAAGGCTTCTAGTGACACCTTCCCATCCCAACAAGACTTGACAAGTAGGTTGGGGGATTCTCTGTTCAGATGCAGATTTGTGGCTGGTTCCTCCTGGGTCGGGTCAGAGCATGCCGAAGCCCTCGCTGCCCTCGCTGATGGCCAGTTTCAGCATCTTGTGCAGCTCCTCGTACGAGTCGTAGGTGGGCAGGCACAGCTGGTTGAAACTGCATACGGGAGAAACATCTGTGTTGGAGCACTTGCACAATCTTAACAACATGGAGAACTGCACTGTATCATATGAAATCTGCTATTTCTAATCTTTCCCTGGCCACATGATGAGTGGGAGAGAGGGGGACATCATTACTGTACTAAGCAATGTCTTAAGAAATCACAGTTTCACTTAATTGGTCCAAAAACAATTATTTCCTCAAAATCTGTCTTCATTCATCTACTGTATGTATGCCAGTGACAGGCAGAAGGTCGTACAGATGAGGAGGGCCAAGATTGTTGAATTGCCATGAATGCGTATAAAACAATTTTTAATTGAATTCAATATGGAGCGGGAAGCCAATAGAATTGTGGTAAAAATTCTAAAAAGTAGAAGGTTGGGACAAAGCACTTGTGAGAGTACATTCCAATGAACTACGGACGTAAACTTTACTTATCCAGGTGTGCCCATCTTAGATCTCATTAGATTGTGTGGGTGCACCTAAAGTCCATGATGGGGAAAAAAAAAGCACTAAATATTTTCAATGGTTAGAATCAATCAAAAGTTATTGTATTCCCCACTGACCAGGTGTGTGCGGTGGGCAGGGTGCTGTGTGTCGGCGCAGCGATGATCTGGAAAGAGGGACACAGGGTATTGAAGCCTCCGGGGGGCAGCTGGGAGGAGCCGGTGGTGAATTGCAGGAGGCGAGCCAGCTCCTCTTGGGTGAAGCTTGACACCACCGCCCAGAACCACTTCATCACCTGCGTGTGTCAAAGCGTACATTGATCATCTCTATTGGGCTGCAGCAGACGAGGCGACAACAGTGCAAGACGGCGGCTGACCTTCTCCCGGAAATGCCACGATCCACCCACGATCACAGCGTGGGCCTTGAAGTCCTGCACATTTATGTCGCCGGTGCCACACATCAGCAGCTGAAAACAAACGAACAAAATATAGACTTTCAAACAAGGCTTTTGAATGAGAAGCAAGTGTCCGAGCTTCCAACAACACTGCAGCTCAAGTTGCTCTTTGCCAAGCTAGCTAAGTGATGGGTGTGAGAGCAATATTATTTTAATGTATCCCCACTGTGACAACAATACACTCTAAATTGTCCCTAGGTGTGAGTGTGAGCGCATGTGGTTGTTCGTGCCCTGCGATTGGCCTGCAACCGATTCAGGGTGTCCCCTGTCTACTGCCCGAAGACATCTGGGATAGGCTCCGGCATGCCCGCGACCCTCGTGAGGATAAAGCGGGTCAGAAAATCGATGGCTGGATGTGACAACAACAGGGCCAGCATGTGAATAGCATTATGAGATGCATATTTTCTGACATGGGCAACGTTCCCCAAACATGTGCATGCAATTCAATAAAAACTTGCTTTTCAACAATACATCCCCTTTCAATCTCAAAATCACTGCAATATAAATACATACCTCCAACTCGTTCTCATCAAATATGGCAAGCAGGTTTTCTGGAACCAATTCATTCAAACCTGCGATAGACATTGGAAAAAATTACACTCATTCGGTGCACATTCCCCCTGATCTCAGAGATGATGCATTGGGGGTAGAGGGGTGGGCTGATGGCAGGAAGCATTTTCATACCTTTCAGAAAGTGTTCCACCTCATCTCTCACCTGACTGGCCAGCCTGTATTGGGCCAGCAGGTTGAGATAATGCATCTTGTTTTCATTGGTAACTGCAATGTGGGCTCCCCCTGAGATCAACTCCACCACCTGTGGCAGAAACAAACACTGAAAACAGTAGCCAACGTTCAGTGACAGTATCTATCTCTCCCTCTTTCTATGATAGAATGGGAGAGAAGGTAGAACAGTTAAATTCATCAATTCATTTTCATTTACGCTTAAGCTCAAACTCCAAACAGCAATCTTAGAACACGGATTCAATTTACATGTCAGGCAAAACGTGCTCGCCACTGTGCTGCCTTGCCTTGCTTCTGAATTGTTATAGAATGCTAAGCTACAGTGATCCAACATCATGGGAAACATCAGCGCCAGCATTTGGAATAATGAGGTTCATGCCAAACTAACAACATGTTTTCCTCTTTGGTTTGCTTTGCTGGTTGCTGTCCCCTGTGAAAAAGATGTCATGGATTAAAAATAATGAAAATACAATGTGTCGAGGGGGGAATGGGCTCACCTTTTCCAGCTGGCCGGACTTGTTGTACTTCTCCTCGGCAAACACCAGATCCATTTCGCTCACGTCATTGTTCAAGATGAAACACACTTTGGTCTTGTAGAACTCCTGGTCATCCGTCTCAAAGTACTGCGCGTGTGGAGGAGGACATGAAACGTTTAAATCAACATTTTGGCTCCTGATTGGTGATTGCATCTGCTTTTGAAATGCATTGGCTCAGGATAAAGAGCAGGTTTGTTTTCTGTGGCTATATAAACAAGGTAGGGCACATCAAGTTTCTGTGCTCTGCCCGAAATATTTCTGGGGAGGGTGCAGAACAGCTGGCGACCAAGACATAAACAAGTAGAACAGGTGCAAAGGTTGCTTGTGTTTCATACCTTGTAATTCATCCTTAGACCGATGATTTGGGCCAAGAAAGAGCGCGTGAAGCGAGCTCGGACCAGCTGTTTGTAGGCCCCGCCAAGCGCAGACTCGTACAGGCACTTCCCAACCACGCGGCCAGCGAACTCATATATTTTCAGTCGCAAGTGCGGCGGTCGGTCGGCATTCGGGTGTACCTGAATGACAAGCGTTAGCTTGGCGTGGTTTTTTTTAAGGTTAAAAAAAAGTTGTAATTGTGTCTAGAATAATGGTAAAGTGTCGTGTAATCTTGTCTACGTTAGGATGGAGGCGAGTTTAGCCCAGGTTGTTTGTGGAAGAAGTTACAAGAACCACATCTTTTCGCTCTTCTGAGTGGCTATTGAAAAGAAATTAATCACCTATAAGCCATTTATTTGAAAGATTTATGTTGTGGGATGAGTTCGAAATTGTGTAAAAATATTGTGACATAATAGTTTGCGGTATATTTTCAGTTGAACCCCTGATGCAGGCAATTCCAAAACCTTTAGTGGAGGTGTCACTTAATTGTGTTTCGCTGTTTGTGGCAGGCTTGGTCCTTATTCCCAATAGTTAACTGCACGTAATAACTAACTATGATGACTTGATCCTGAGAAATTCTTTTTTTATGTTCCTCTTAAGAGTGCAATGATGGGTACAAAGATATCAAAACAATTGCATTTCAACACAATTTAGTTAACAGTTTATTTCGAAACCCAATTCAAATTTTCATTTGAAAGAAAACGTACTTTGTCAATCATTTCTTCAAAACACTTGAGTCAGTATTCTATGTTGTAAGCCTTTTTTTTTTTTTTTTTTAATAAAGTAATGGCTGTTGCCTCTTTGGTTTCATTCAATATAAAGTGAATGAGGGAGGGGTGTTATAAAGTGGAGGTACAGAACGTGTTTTGAAAGATAGTTCTGGGAAATTTACATTAATGCTGAGCCACACATTTAAACAGCGCACAAAGGAAATCAGTAAATATATTTTATAAGTGGATGCAACTCACCAGGCCCTGGTTGTTATCACTGAAGCGGGTGAATAACTGGTTGGAGGTGTCAAAGAGGGTCTTGCATATCAACTCAAACCATTCCCTGCGGGGGCCTCCCCAGTCCAGAGCTGCAGAGCAACATCCAAATGTTACTCTGGTATTCCAGCAAAATGCGGCAATTATTTAGTCGAAAACTGACTGTTAAGATTTACCTTCCTCGTCTTGAAAGATCACCTCAAAGTTTTTACTCCAATCTGACACTGAGAAGTTCCGCGTTGCCTTTAGGGACTGAAAGAATGATAGGAAGATAGAATTTTCACAATGAGCTGGTAAAATAACCTTGTCTAAATAACCTTGTCGAATCCTGGATACAAAAACCACTCACTGAATCGAGAATGGAGTGCCGGGTGATTTTTAGGCAGGTCTTGGTACGAGGTCGCTTGGAGTGAATATGCCTGAGTTCACGTTGAAAGAAGTTCACCTTGTCCTGAAATGTTTCTGAGCCACCTGCGGACACATTAACAATTAGAAAACAGCTAGCTAACGAGAGCAATGTATGTTCTTGACTGGAAAAACAAACCTATGTTTTTGTGGAGAAAGCGAATGAAGGTAGCGGCCATGATGTTCCTTTCTTTGCAACTGAGCTCCACGGGTGGCTGTATTCCATCATCGACCACGAGCGTTAGGTATTTGTGAACAGGGTCAGGACCGTGGTAGCTAAACTGAAGGAAGGGAAATTGGACCAGTGACCACGTGTCAATATCAAGGCCTGGGGGCCAAATCCTACTTTCTGAAGCAAATATAGTGTGTGTACCGTTTATTGTTATATGAGTTTCTTTTCAATCGGCCAGAAAATCTATGCCAAAAGTTTCATCATCTTTTTAACATAATTTCAACAATAATTGTACACTTTAATATTTGCATGGCAAAATTTTGCATGTCTTGATTTCAAATTCACTTTGTTTTTAACTGTATTGTATAATAATCAGTCCCAGGGCCAATTGTGTATCCTCCACAGTCATAATGGCCGTTCTGAAAAACCCACTGATGCCAGCGATCAACATGATATTGACACTCTCCGAATGGAAAGTAATTACATCTAAGGTAGGTGAAGTCTAAGGCTGAAAAAAAAACCCTACATTTTCTATTTACCTTTGTTCCAGGACAAACTCGAAAGGTGAAAAGGCGCCACGGAATAATTTTCAGGTAAAACTCCTTCACAGATAGTTGCTGTTTAAAAAAAACAAAAAACAAACAAACAAAAAAAGATATATCCGCATAAACATCATGTACTGTTCTAAATGATTTCAATCAAGTTGTCGGCTCGGTCAATGCACTTACCTTTGGCGATATGTAACAATAGACCTTTTTTGGTTTCTTGACTTTCTCAGATTGGCCCTCCACAGGAGAGTCATGCTCGTCCTCCTCCTCGCCCATGGACGGCCTCCTCTGCGGTGCCAGCAAAGACGAGGCAGGTAGTTGCCACGGGGAGCTGCTGTAGTTCCCGTTGCTGTAGAGGTACGCCTCAAAGTAGATGCTGTTGCCCGGCGTGGACACATTCTTCTCCACGTAGGCCTTCTCATTCTCTACGAGACAAGGAAAAGTTGCAGCACGCTTGATCGACCGTGCAGGAAATGGCTCATCAATTATTTATTTACAAATTATTTCTTTTGAAAAATACATCTGAATTCTATTTTTGAATGCCAAAAGATACTAAGGAAAGTTAGGTATATTTGGCGATATTAATGTGACAAACTTAAGATGTGCATAACAAGTTGTCGCGTTCACTAATACTCAAATATACAGAAATACCAATTCTTGAGGCATTCAATAAATGGCTGAAAAGCATTGGCAACTGTGGCTCTCCTTTCCCAAATGCAAGGGCATTACAGGAAGGAAGTACATGTACTTAAAAAAAAGTAATAAATAAAAATTATACAACAATCACTAGTGTGACCCGCAAATTTCCACAACAGATCAACGTTCCAGAAAAAAAAATCGTGAGAGCGTAGAGGGGCCACGCTATGAGACTAGCTTTATAGCTGGAGAACACAATGAAGTCAAGCTTTACTCACCATTGAGAACAATAATGTCAAATTCCCCATTGCTGAGTGGCTGATCCAGGTAGGCAATGCGGGCCCTGAAGCAGCCGGTCTTCCACAGGGTCAGTTTCATCAGAACCTGACACTGCTGCTTGTTGAGGGAGACCGTCTTACTGTAGTAGCCCTCCGTGCTGTCATCATCCACTGTGCCCAGCTGCACAAAATAATGCATGCATAAAAGAGCGATTCAGAAACCAAAATATAACAGCAGTGTTGGGAGCTTTCTAAACGCTTATCAATAGAAGACGCTCCCTTACAGAGTGCACGTGGATGCTGTAGTTGGCCTCATCTGTGAGTGATGTGGAGTTACTGGTAGGGTTTCCATATTCATCTCGAGGCTCAATCTGCAGAGTGTGCTGCTGGCTGTGTGTTAACACCAGCGTCGAGAAATGGTAGGCTATCTTAGTCTTGGATGGAACGACTGTACCTGAAGTGGGGCAAAAAAAAAAAAAAAAAAAAGATGGTCATAGGAGAAAATGCAAGAAGTTGAAATAGATTCAAGAGAAAAGAATCCATTAAAACCAACCTGGCTGGAAGATTTTATAGTAAGGGCTGTAGGCCACGTTGAGGCCACCAAGCTTGACAGCGACCTCGTAGCGGCCAGCCTTGCGCACGGTAAAAGTTACTTTAACCACGTTTGACTCCGGTTCTTGTAAGACTTCCTGTGTAACAGGGATATCTAGAGCCAATTCAATGTGGGTGATGTTGACTCTCAACCCCACTGGCCGATGGGCTGGGAAAGGCTGGCCGTTCTTATAGAAGAGCTGAGAAGAAGAAAGGAAATAGCAGATCAGGACATCACTTGGACATCACACTGAGTAAGAAGTCTAACTGGGAGATATGGCCACACAAAAATAAGTTTTCATATGTTTAGCAATTGCTTTCCCATTGTTGATATAAAAAAACAAATGACAATGACACTCAAAATGGCAGGGTTTTTTTCTCCCTTTATTTCAATGTGTATTCCACTCGCGCTGTCTGTTTCTTAGCAAGAATGAAAGTCAGCAACTGCTTATTCGAGAAACAAAAACAAAAAACTAGAGGGGTCAGAAAAGACATCCATCTAAATATTAGTCACCTAACCCTACTGACAAAATCTCACATTTTTAACCCAAGGACAGATCATTACTTGGACTCTGAAGCTCATCGTCTGCCCCACTTCTTGTGGCTCCTTCCAATCCCAGGACACCTTGCAGGAGCGTGGATCCAAATAGTTGCCCCGCACATAATCGTAGATGCTGCGGTCGCCACGGCGGCCTGGATCCTCATGCTGCAGGAAGCTGACAACCCTGGCTGCAAGCTCACACAGGAACTTGATGGTGAAGACAAATGCAATGATGGAAACAGTAATTCCACCTGCCAGATGAGGTGAGACACAGAGGAGGAAATTACAACTAGAACATGCTTTTAGGAATGTATAGTAGAACCCCCCCCCCCACCAGTTTTTAAATACTTGACAAGGAATTAAAAAAAAAACATTACTCAAGTAAAGCAAATAGAGAATGATGTTTAGCAGTTTGGATTATTGCCATCTCAGCTACTTTGTCAAGGTCAGAGATGTGTCTGTATTATATAGTTAGTTATAGCAGCACATAATACTCCAACAAAATGGACGGTAGAGATAACAATGGTTCACAGCAGCAAAAAAGAAAAAAGTACAAATTTGTTGACCAGTGTAACTGACTTTGCACCAAAAGTTTACCCCAGAAAACAAAATCAAGGTTGTGTTTTCATGAAATTCAATTTCTTGGACTCTTCCCCCCCCCCCCCCTCCAAGAGACGTGTCAGTGCAGATGATGATAAAAGTAAAGTCATTCAGTCCCACCCAGTATCGAGCAAACCAAAAAGCCATTTCCTGTCATTACAAAACATGCTGCCTTAAAATGAATCCTTTAATCAGCCTGGCAGTGAGGTTACAATGTTCAACTTCATTGGAGTACACAGAAAAGCAAAACTGTGTTACTGGTGTCCTTTCAAAAATTCATTCTAACTCTGTGTACTCAATAAAAAATACGAGAAAGAAAGCCACAAAATCAAAATCAAACAATTAGCTTAGGGGACAAAAACTTACAACATGAGATTGCTATCTTACAAGAGAAAAGTGGATTGTATTTTCACCAAAGTCAAGTCTGGCAATCATTTCTACTGCAGACTATTTCCTTCATAGTTTTCTCTCGCCAAGATTTTGGAAATATTCTGAAACAATTAAAATTCTCAAAGTGGAAATGCCGCAGTCTTCAGCTTATGTCCACCAGACAACACCAAGTACTGTTTGCTCAAGCAGAAGTTGTTACGTCAGAACTCAGGTGTGCAATCTAAACTCACCAATCACGTAAAACATGAGGTCCCTTATCAAGAAGCACAGCGCCACAGTACAGCCAAATAGGAGTGCCCCCGCTGCAAAAGACATAATGTCATCGTTACAAGAGTTTTGGGGGTTCAGTGTAGAGTGCTCAACACGCACGAGCACCCACCCAATTTGTTACCAATAAAAAAACACAAGTGAGACAATTTGGCATTCATGCATAAAGGCTCGCACTGTGGTTTGCTGGAGTCCTAAAGCTTTTACAGACTGACAGATATCAATTACTTCATTTCTCATGTGCTGCAGCTTTTTGAGATCTTTTGGCCGACTTCATTTTTGTCAGATGGGTTCTATGTAGTTGATTTCTTCACTGAACAGGTGTGGAGGAAATCAGGTATTAAATGGGTCACGAAATTATTATTATTATTTAGATTGAAATGTCCAAAAAAGTAAGCATTACCATAGCGTTTGGGTGTGCACACGGTAGTTACATTTAACTGGCAGTAGGATTATCAGGGGGTTCTTGGGAAGAAAAAAGTCTGTCTCGGCGCCTCAAAATTTTGATAACTCCTCCTCTGCATTATGGAAGACAGAACTATTAACCAATGGGTGAGTACGTTTTACTTTTGTTTTCGCTGAAACCGAAGCTATTTAAAGTCTCATTGTAATTGTACGTCAATTTGGAATGTTAAAATGTGAAACGGGATATTAACTCATTCAGTAACAGCCAATTCTAGACCCTTTTTTTATTACCCTAAGTCTTGGAAAAATTGAAAAAAAAAAGTATCTGGGGTTGAATATGTCTTTGGGAGTGAATGACTTAAAAGCTTTATGATGGTGACAGTACAGCATTGAATAAATTAATCTTTGCTACTTAAAAAAAAAAAAAAATTAATAAAATGATTCTGTTCAATTTTGGCGATTCCAATGTGGTATGCAACCATGGTGGGCAGCCGAAGCTCGTGAATAGATTAGTTCACCATCTCACCGATTGACCACTTCTCATTCAGACGCCTTTCAGCAAGACTGTGCACGAGCTGGATCTCGTAGTCCTGGTCCCGACTCCTCCGTGAGGTCTGGAGGATCTTGATGCCTGTCGACAACTTGATGTAGTCTTCGTAATAGTACCCCCAGGCAGCTAAGGAGAGGTGCAGCTGACTGTCAAACTGTGACAGGTCATCCAGATTCATATAACCCAAAGTCTTTAGCCTGCAGTGGATAAGAAATATAAGATACAATTATCAATTTTATACACAAATATTAGCAATGCCCCAATTCAGCAGGACCACTAAAAATATTTGACATCACTCAACCTGCATATAATCTCCTTTTTATTACATCCACTGTGGTGTTGTTGCGGTAACTGGAAGGTGGCATTGTGTTGACATTATAAACATTTTATTTAACTTAAAAATTCGACTTTTCTGAACAATACCACTTTATCTACTTAACATTACAACGATAAAGATGTACTTTTTTCTGTGTGGCCCTAATACTCCTTGATAGTGCTTTGGGAATGAAATTAAGAAACACTCTAGCAAATAAACAAACGTGTTTTTATTTTCATGTAAATAGTGGTTTGATTACTTAATTGATTTTGATTACTTAATTCTGTGTTTCGCAACCTTTATGAAAAACTTTTCCTTGGTTAGAAGGGATGTTTTGAATCCAACCAGAATTCGTTGTGTGCCGTCAACTCGATTAGGAAACGAGGATTTTGGGTGGGAGTCCAAGCTCGACTGTTCTCGGTCTGGATTTTTGTAAAATCAATTTCCGCAACCTAGGGTCCGGTGCGACGTTTTTTTTTTCTTCGTGATGAACGTGATTCTTCGTTTGAACGATGTGACATATTCTAAAAAATATGGTACTTGTTAAAACATGTTCAGCTTCTTTTTACTTATTGGATGAATAACTGAACAAACAAATAAATCGCAATCAATAAGAATTATGATCTGAGAGTAATTATGCTTTTTCATTTTTTCATGGGTGAAATCTAACATTGGTTAATATAAAAGGTCAACAAAAATGTGGAATAATGTATTAGCCATTCATGAACTAAAATGCAATTGCTGAAATTATAGATATAAATTAAGTACAAAAGTCTCAAGAACATGGCTGCATTGACTTTTAATTTCCAGTTTCATCACTGTAACAAATGAATATTTTTTTCCTATCAGTTTCATTTACTTCCCTGAGTAGATATCTACAATACATCGTGAAACGACCAGCTGTATTCAGTAGAATTCCGATAAACTTACGTTTTGTAAAAGTGTCCAAGGTTCTGAGAACAAAGCCACTCTTGGAAGGCAAAGTCTCGGAGCAGCCGAATATGAGCCTCAGCGATTTCCCTCCAGCTCTGTTGTTCCTTCACCACCTCTTCCAAGCGACTCAGTACACTCAGACTCAGCTCCTCCAGTGTCTGCACATCTAAAAGAGCACCATATGAAAATCCTCAGGGAAGAAGCCAGGAAATGCACAATTTCACATATTAAATCAAGTCTTCCCTTGAGGGACACGAAGAAAAGGCTATTTTATTCTTCTAAAATGTTAACAAGTTATGTCATCATCGTTCAAAGTCGAGTATCTGTACAGAATAAACAAACACATGATAAGCAGAAATTTGTGCTAAGCCTCGGGAAGGAGGCTGTTTGTGGGGACATTTTTTTTTTCTTCAAGGGGTCAAACCACTTTTTGTATTCATAGTCATAATCTTATTTTCCCCATTTCGAATCCTCAGGCGGGTAGAGCCTATCACAGCTGGCTTACATGGTAACGTTTAATGGGCTCTGACTATTGTAGCACTTTTCTACCTTCGGTACTCAAAGCGCTCTACACTGTTTCCTCATTTTCCACACAATGCAGCATCACGAGCAACTGGCTCAGTGTTTTGCTCAAGGACACTTGGACAAAGTCGCAATGGCCAGGGATTGAACCTCTGGTTAGGAGACGACCACTCTACCACTGAGCCATTCCGCCCGTTTAAGGTACATAGAAACAAGACAATAATTCACAGCGTCACTGAGTGGCAAATAATTCCAAATTCCCGCGCCGTCTGAATGGAACTCAGACGAGTGAATCAGTATACCATCAGTGACTCCATACTACATTTTAAAATCAAGAGACAATCACACAAATGTTTTCCACCAAATCAGAGGGTGCATGTAAATGTTGTGGGGCTTTTAAGGACAGTTCTTCCGAGGTTTTATTTGTTTTTAGAATTGCTATGCAGGCCTGATCAAACTCGCTCATGAACCTTACAACGGCCCACAGGCTGTTGATGCCCACGGCTGACTTAACCCTTCATACATCATCAGTTTTTGGAAATATTTTGCTTTTTCCAAGTTAGAATTTATCTGTGATGCTAATGACAGGTCATGGCTTATTTGAACATATACCAAGGCAAATTATTTTCAACCTTTTCTTGGGGTACTACCATTTTTGTCCAGACCTGGTCCATGAGGGGTTTTTTTTGGTTGTTTGTTTGTTTTACTAGTTCTATTGAACCACAATTTAAAATCAATGTCTGATTGTCATTGATTACATTTCATCACTTTTGTCAGATTCAAATTGTGACGACTGTGGGGATTTATTTCATTAAGAGAGGGTGAACAACAATTTTGTCCACGTGTGTATCTGTTTAAAATTGGGGAATGTTTTTTGGGGAAAACCTGTGTATAAAAAAGAAAATTTGAAAATGTTATTAATTACTACCAATCCTGACAAGAAAAAAAGCATGCTTGAAAGTTAAACTGCCAATTCCTGATCAAAATGATGTCTGCATTAAAGAACTTCATGAGACCATGTGATTGTTGTTGCAACAAATACGCAAGCACTGTATATGACATATCATATTAATAGGACAATTGCCACTCACTGACCTTCAAATAAATGCTTGTATTGAGAAAGACTGTGTCCTCGTAGCCATTCCTCAATCTGACCGTCTTTGCCTTTCTTCCAGCGCACTTCCCAGAAGAAGATCCACAGTGCGGAGCAGATGAGAAAGGTCAGGAAGAAGCGGCGGTCCATCAGACCATAGTGCCCCTGACTATCTAATTTCCTGACAAAAATAATATCATGACTGACCCACAAAGCACGTTGAGTATTGTAACAGCCCAGTAGTGATTTTTAGTAAACGCTTCTCTCTCAACATCCTAAAACCATTTCCAAGAAACTCGTGTTGTGATTGGTTAAACTACAGGGATATTAATATTAATGACACACCCTCAGTGACTAACCAGTCTAATGAGAGAATAACATTAGCGCTACAATGAAAACTGCATTAAATGCAGGACAGGTTCCTGAGAACGATCACAACTCTTGTTTGCCACAAGTTCCGTGACCATATGGAGGAAATTAGCTGATTAACCTCCACAAATTGCAACAGAATGAGCACAGGTGCTTGTGATGTCACAAATCGCTTACATGACGTGTAATAGGTCATTCTTAGACAATATTTTACAAGGGAATAGTTCAGTTTAAACACTCGGCTTTTGTGACTTTCCAAAATAGATGCAAATAAGGCACATAAATAGATAATTACGATTGGCTGAAGCGTGGAAAAAGGGTAGCTTTAATGCTAACAACAGTGTTGAATTGACAAATAAGTCAACAGAAGACACAGATACTTACAAAGAAGCGCATCGTATGCATAATCGAAAACATTTACAGCCTTCTACCTAGGTGCATCGACAATTTAAAAAATAATAACATTTTACCTCGGATATTTCTCGCATCACCACAACGCAGTCTGTGTACCTAACAACCGGAACATACGCATAGCGTGTCGATGCTTGATGACGTCATCAGTCCTGGTGCGACGCACGAGGACAGTGTAGCGTACCTTAACCAGATCGTAAAAGCGCTTAAATAATCGTTTTCAAGAATGGTAAGTACACGATATATACATGTGTATGACATGCATAATGTTGCTAGAATTTTGTCTGCTCTTTTCTTTACGTTCGTAAGTTTTAATTGGACGCCAAAGCCTTGACAGACAAGTCTTCGAGCTAACCCTGCTAGCCTAGCCTGCCCATAGTGCAGCGTATGCTATCTTTAATAAAAAGGAATACATAACAAGCATCTTATGGTCGTGCATTCACGAGAATAATGTCGAAATACTACGACAATATAGTCGTGGACGTACGAAAAAAAGATTCTGCGCTACGAGGAAAAAGTCGTACCATACGAGAATAAAAATTGGTCAGAACACGAGCATACGTTTACCTGCCAAATTATACACGTTATTAAGCGTAGGTTGACATTTTTGTGATGTACACGAAAAATAATTATATTTTGCCAATCTAACGCCATCATTAATGGTAACCGTTTAACGGGGTTGTTTTTGCACTCGCGGAACTCATTCCTTGCCCCTTGTTTGGCCCTTTTTAGCATACAGTACTGTATTACCTTGGCGTGTGTGTATATTTGTATGGTCTTGTTTTTCTGATGTGTATATTGTATTTCTTTGTCTGAACTTTGAGTCCGTTACAAAGCAATTTATTAAATTATTAATCAAATCAGAAGTAGAATCTTTAATAAATATATAATTCGAGGCAAATCCCCAGAACTCGCAGCTGTTCTCAAATTTGTATTGACATTCAGTCGTTAAAATTCAAACTTTATTCTTGAAACATAGCACATTTTTACTTTCAAAAGTAGGACTTTTTCATGCTGGAAAAATAAAATGTGACTTTAACACAATGCTTCCATATAAAAATCTAATACATGTTTTTCCCTTATCATATTATGCTTGATTTCTTATAACATGGCATCCTTTTTTTTTAAGAAAAAGTAGTCAAACATTTTTTTTTTTGTACTTTCTTCCTAATACTCGTAATACTTTCGAAGTAAAGAACATTTGTTAGTTTAGGCTAAAGTCCCCTTTTTTATCACAATTAAATTACATGAGTTCAGTGTGTTTGATATTCTGTGTTTTTATTAGAGCTGCTGGATTTTCAAAAGTAATCTAATTGCAGCTTTTTTATTTCATGTGATTTAATGTGTATTTCAACAACATTACAGCTGAAATTAAAATGCATTGTGTACTGTCGTCTCCTACTAGTGAACACTTCAATTTATATCTGTTGTGATTTTTTTTGTTTGCTCGTGTAGCCGAAGCAGAAAACCAAAAAGTTTGCTGTCATGAAACGGATGATCAATTTGAAAGATCAACGAATGTGAGTTATAGTTTGTTTTCAGTCGCCCTGACTGTTATTAGTTTGAATTTTGAAGACACACCTTTTTGTCTTGCAGAAAAGAGAAAGATCGCTCCAAAGCCAAAGAAAAAAAGAAAAAGGACCCTTCAGAGCTGAAGGAGAGAGAAGTGTAGGTGTCCAGTTTAATTTGTCCTATGAATTGGGCAGTAGTTGGTGGCTGTTTGATTTGATTGCTCTTATCTGTTTCTGCAGGCCCAAGTACGCATCTTGTCTGTTCTTTCAGTACAACACTCAGCTTGGTCCACCGTACCACATTCTAGTCGACACCAATTTCATCAACTTCTCCATCAAGGCCAAACTGGACATTGTTCAGTCTATGATGGACTGCCTATATGCCAAATGTAAGCGTTATTGTCAAATTTTGGTAGTTCTATTGTGGAGATTTATTCACAACAGTTGTTATTTTTGCTCCAATCCAGGTATCCCTTACATAACCGACTGTGTAATGGCTGAAATTGAAAAACTTGGAATGAAATACAGAGTTGCGCTCAGGTACAAGCAGCTTCCTCTTACACGAGCAATTCATACACACATGGCTGAATTTCAACATCTTCATCCTTTTTTTAACGTGAGAGACCCCACACGTTTACCTTTACATTGTGTCTTTCCTGCTCTTATTGTACATGGTGTATTCATGATGATCAACACTGCACCACACATGACGATATCGAGACTGACGATCGTGAGTCTCCTCCTGTTAACCTGATGTCTGTTGTAGTACAAAGACTGACCTGTGAGAGGCAGCATGTTGCCACAGGGTATCAAAACCTCTGGAAATATACAAAGAAGAAATGGAAGAAGCCATGTTGTTAGCTTTTCTGGTCACCACCTCTTCTTCTTGTCAGTGACTTGGTAGACATGTACAACCATTCAACACAACCAATTGCTCCTCGATTGGTGTTCAGCAACAGTGTTAGTTAGCTTCATATTTGGCTTTCGTTTCATTTCATGTCACAACTCTGTGTCCAACACACTTGAAGATTTGCTTTGGTTGATGGTGAACAGGTTTCACTTTTGCAATTTTCATCCTCACCATTTTCCAAGTACATTAGGGAGCAAAAATGCGCCACACATTGTATAATCTGGCTTTTGTTGACTTTGACCAGAAGGGTGCATAAATTCGACCTTATTAAGTGATATTTTTCTCCTTCTGGTTGCAGGATAGCAAAGGATCCAAGATTTGAGCGTTTACCTTGCACACACACAGGAACATATGCTGATGACTGTCTGGTCCAAAGGGTAACACAGGTAATAATATCCATGTATCTTTATAAGCACCTGCCTGCAGTTGTTTGGAATAAGAGCTCTTATGCTATCAGAACAACATATTTTAGGTAGTTACCGATGTGAAAACAGTTTCATAATATTTCTGCAGCACAAGTGTTACATCCTGGCTACTGTGGATAGAGATTTAAAGCGACGGGTAAGAAAGATCCCTGGAGTGCCCATTATGTACATCTCAAACCACAGGTAAAATAAGTCGACGGCTGCGCCTCATACGACTCCCAAATACAATTACGCTAACTTTTTTTTTTTTTAAACAGGTACAACATTGAAAGGATGCCAGATGATTACGGTGCTCCAAGGTTTTAGTTATTTATACAAATGTGCTATCCTTGTAAATATACATTTTCTTTTGTGAACATTACAATTCTTCAGTGGTTTGAACATCCACTACGTTTCTGTCAAAAAAATTGGACAGCAGTTGATTGTGGTGTTTCATTAAAACCCTTCTGTGCTGATTTTTTTTTTTTGCAACACAGGCCCAAACGTACCATTGCATACGTTGCTTTGAAGTGTAATATCAGTCATTTCTGAATTATTATTTTTTTTACTTGCGACCACTCAAAATGTTCAGTGGCATCAGACCTATCCATACATATATAGTTTTTATTTATTTATTTTAGATGCCCTCTATGGACAATAAAAGCAATATTGTGCTATGGGTAAAAGTAACTATCATCTGCATATTCAAGGATTCAACCTGGTTGGTCCCCTCGTTGCCATGCAAGACTCTAAAGTGCCTTAGCATAGTTGAGGTGTTATTATTATAACTAAGCACCTTGGAACACACCAGACACTTCACCTAAAAGTATTCAGAAAAGAACAATGTGAATTGTATGTGTTGTCACATTTTATTTTCTTTCATTATTGGAATCTGTTAAATCGTAATTGCAGTGCATTACCTAGGTGAGATCTGCTCAAAGTACTGTACTCCCAAACAGGGGAAAATCTCCTCTTTCTTGCTGGTTCCATCGCAAAAAAATAGCTCGTTGAATCAAATGCCAAAAAAAAGTAGCGCAATAAGGGATCCGAAACCACAAAAGGTGAAGGGGAATCCATAGCGTTTCTTTGTCGCTTTTATTTCGAACTACACTCAAACATATCGTATCATTTCCTGAATCAGTCACGTGATACACCCGCTTTGCGGGGCCTCAAGTCACAACTGACGTCATCAACACGCGCATCGACTCCCAGTTCATGAACCACTGATCTACATGGCGCACGCTTCAGGCATTCGACCGAGGAGCACATCAATCATAAGCCGTTATGAAGTTTGCCTTTTCGACTGACTCTGCATCCGAGGAAGAGGATGGTGGCTCGGATCCTGATGCTTTGAGCACCACGGGTGACGAAGATTTAGACTATGATCTATGTGATGACTCGGAGGAGGAGGACGACGACGACGTTGAGGAGGAAGGCATGGAGGAAGACGAGGGCGCGGGTGCGGAGGAGGTCAGCGAGTGGCTGTCTAAAAACAAAAAAATATTGTGGTCTTCAACAAATGAGGTGAGCATGATTTACGTGCCAGCCACAATACCCCCGCCCGGACCAACCCATTTTGCTGTGGCCCGGATCAGAAGCCCTTTGAATGCTTTTGATTTGTTTTTTACCGACCAAATTTTGAGCCACATCGTCAAGATGACGAACCTTCAAGGGCAGCGCACGACAAATCACTGGAAGAACACAACGACGGAGGAGCTGCGCACATTTATCGGGCTGCTGATCCTGGCAGGAGTGTATCGATCGCGGCATGAAGCCACTTTTAGCCTTTGGGAAAAAAAACAGGACGCCCGATCTTCGCTGAGACAATGACCCACCATCGTTTCAAGCAATTAAACGCAAAACTAACATTTGATGACCAGCTTGCCAGGCCACAGCGCCACGCCCGAAACAAGCTGGCGCCGATCAGCGACGTGTGGGAGATGTGGAGCCACCTGCACAGCAAAATGTTCAAATTGGGAAGGGATGTTTGCGTCGATGAACAACTGGTCTCCTTTCGAGGCCGCTGCTCATTTCGGCAATACATCCCTTCTAAGCCGGCCAAATACGGAATCAAAATTTGGACTCTGTGCGATGCAGCCACCGCATACGCGTGGAAGATGGAGATTTATACGGGGGAAGCTGCAGGAGCGCCAAGGGAAACTAACCAGGGGATGAATGCGGTCCTCAGGCTGTGCGACATGCTAGAGGGACACGTCGTGACAGCGGACAATTTTTTTACGTCCTACCCCCTCGCGCAGGAGTTGATCAAGCGGAAGATGGCACTGGTGGGAACACTCAGGAAAAATAAAATGGAAATTCCGCCAAATCTCCTGGACCGCAATCGACCACTGCTGTCGAGCAAGTTTGCCTTCACACGTTACATAACCTTGGTGTCATACATTCCCAAAAAAAACAAAACCGTACTGCTGTTGAGCTCAAAGCACAGAGACACCGAGGTGGATGATGGGCCCAAGAAAAAACCCACCATCATCCTCGACTACAACAAGAGTAAAGGCGCAGTAGATCACCTGGACCAGGTAACCACAGGTTTTGTCTTTGTCAAAACTTTGCACCAAAGCTTCTTGTCGTCTGACATCTGTGGGTTTTTTTTTGTGTGTGTGTAATTGAAGGCATGTGGCACATACTCATCCCGCCTCCGGGCAACGAGGTGGCCCATGCGTGTGTTCTACCACATGTTGGACGTTTCCTGCTTCAACGCGTACATACTATACACAGACGTGGAGCCTAGGTGGAACCAGGGCAAACTGCACAAGCGTCGGCTCTTCCTGGAGGAAGTTGGGGCAGCACTTCTTTCAGCGGATCCCAAGCAGGCATGTGCAGCAGAAGAAAGTGCAGCAAAAAGTGACTCACCACGCAAAAGACGTAAATGTAGATTTTGTGTTGAAAAGGTGACACGTGCTTCACAACTCTGTGGCAAATGCACAACACCCATCTGCCACAAGCACACGCGGAGAAGATGCCCTAAATGTTGAAATTTGAGTGTTGGTGTTCAAAGTTCAATTGTAGTTCTGGTTTTGTTTGTTGGTGTGTGTTTGATGTTCAGTAAATTCTGTTCGTTCTAAATTCTTCTAGTTGTGCCTTTTTCACCCTTTCATGGTTAACTTAAAGCTCTAACTGAATATTCTAATTTCAATGTGTTTTTTATATATATTGAAGGGACTTTCATTCATAGTATACACTTTAGTATTGCTGCATCGCGGTTTTTCATACAGTCACAAAATACTTGCTGTTGTTCCAGTGCTGTTTTCATGGTTGTAGATGATTCGGGTGGAGGATTGGAATGCGTGACTGCAAATAATGAGGTTTTCCTGAGTGTAAATGAGAGAGACTGTTTGCATTTGAGTGTGATTGAGGAAGAGGGGGTGCCACGAGCAAAGGGGAAACGCCGGTTGGACCCCTGGACTAGAGATCACAATAGGCACTCAAAATGGCCCCACAGCAAGATGACCGCTTCCAACAATAAAAGACGGCCAAATGTCGGAGACCATATACTGTACACATGAAAGGAAGATTCACAATAGGACAATCCACACCTAGTCTGATCGATGCCGTTGATAACACCTGGACTGTCCTCGCAGACTACTTGTCTATGCCTCAACACACACACACACTAAGAGACACTCCTTTTTGGGGAATTGTATTAAAAGTGGGTCAAAGGAAAGGCGTCTTGGTCACTCTGCCTCGCTACCTTCGCGGTTAAGAGAAGTTGATGACCCAGAGCTCTGTTTAGAATAATTGTCTTGACCTATGCTCTATTAGACTATTTGTTAGGGATTAAATACTTTTCTGTGTTACTGACTCAAAAGACGTGTGCATTTGGTCATTCCTGAGCCTATCAACGAGCACCCCGGAAGTCTGCCAAGGTATCCGATTATTGGTCAGATAGTGTGGTGGAAATTCAACAACACCCGTGAGTCTTCTAGTGTTAACACTTAGAGTCCCGGCTTTTCCCCAAAAGCCGGGACTCTTAAGTCTACCATTTCCCAAAAAGGTGTGTGTGTGTTGAGGCATAGACAAGTAGTCTGCGAGCACAGTGGAGACTAAAGTCTCCCTCTTCGGAGTCTAAATGCTACAGTTACAGTCCTTCCCTGGTCCAGAAATGGTTCCATTAATTTCAGAACAACATTCTCTGACAGCCTCTTTCCCGTTGGACAAGTGGATGGCATTACACATGTATTTAGTGTCCAGCTCCGCTGCAATCCAAAATTTGATTCCAAACTTGACAGGCTTGGATGCCATGTATTGCAGAAAGGGGCAGCGAACCTTTGACGGAAACAACTGCTCATCCACAGTGACATGCTGTCCTGGACTGTAGGATGATATACAGTTCTGAACGAACTTCTGCCAGATTTCTGATATTGCAGCGAATCTGTCATTTTGTATGCGTTCCCTGCAGGTGTCCTTGTTGTCAAAGCGGAGGTACCGCTTTATTTCATAAAAGCGATTACTTGACATAATGGGTTTGATATCAGGGGTACCAAACATATTGGCCCACATGTCTCGCTTGGGACCTATGTAACCCATTGCCACTCTTCAAAGAAGGATTGCGAGGAACGCCATCAGCTCGTGGACAGTCATCTGCCAGTTGGTTCTGTGGCTCTCGCGGACTGTGTGTTCTCTGATGCTCAGCAATATGTTTACATCCACCAAACACAAGAAGCTTTGAAGGTGACTTGTGATTTTTCGTCTCACTGACTCTGTTGGCCTTCCAGATCCGTTGAAGGCAGTTTGTGGGGTTTCAGCAGCAATCAAGTCTCCAACTTTCCATTGGAACCAAACAGTGCCATCTTTCGCCCTCTCTGCGGATCCAGGCGGTGTGCCAACATGACCAACTTTTTGTTTTTTACTTTGAGGAGGGTTGCCATACATTGTGTCTTCCTCTTCATCAGATGAGGCTAGTCGGTGCTCAAGTCATTGAAAGGGTATTGTGCAGGACAGCTGAGTCTTTGTTAGTTCGTAAGTACCCACTCGTTAATGGGGACTTAAGAATACAATGGAAAGTAATTAGGGGTGTGACACATATTTGGTTTCTGTGGGGGGAAACAGAGTTGAGACTAAAGTCTCCCTCTTGGGAGTCTAAATGAGGCACTTTCGAGTCTTGCATGGCAACGAGGAGACCAACCAGGTTGAACTGGCTCAGGTAGGCCATTTATATTCATAGCCCCACACTACACTGTATGGTTTTTGTTTGTGTTGTTTTATAACTCTGACATGTAATTTAATTTAGCTGAGAAGGTTGACTTGGCTGAGCTGTTGGTGAATATGGTAATTGAGGATTCCCAGCCGTTTTCCTTGGTGGACGGCAGTGGATTCAAAAAGCTTATGAAAGCTTTAGCTCCTTCCGATGTTCTACCTACACGGCAGGTATGTATGTCACAACATGAAGCACGATACTATCGGATTAACCATTTCAATATTTTTCAATTCAATAAATTAGACTTTTTTTTAGACTTTGAAAGCCATGGTGGGAAAAAAAGGTACAAGGAAACCAAGATTAAAACAAAAGCCATTGTGGCTAAAGCAGCTACATGTAGTTTGACATCAGATTTGTGGACTTCCATCAATACTAATGCCGATCGAGCTGTGACATGTCATTTCATTGATGAAACCACGTCTCTCCAATCTGTTGTACTGGGGGTGCAACATTTCCCTGATAAATGCTTGGGAGCAAAATGGACACTGAAGTGAAAGCTGGAAAGAAGCGGGTGTGTGAGAACTCCCAACAACCAATCAGCGCAGAGCGCAGGCAAGGAAGCATCTTTGATACGCCCGTAGCGTGCATTCAAAGAGTGCACTGTGCACGCTCGGGCAGACACACATACACCCTGAATATTCATACCCACACACAATCACATGGTAAGTGTAACGGAGTGAAACATTAAGTTTATTAAATTATGACGAAAAAGACGCAACAGCGCACAGTATGGCACTAGCTTCCCGCCATAGCTCAGGCAGAGCTGACAAGGAAGTCGCATGTTTTGTCCGAGACCCCAATGCAACTGCAACTTCACCTATCCCTCCTGCCATACTGTGTTGTATAGTATTAAAAGAAAGAAAAAGCCACGTCCACGTGTCTGGTGTTATTGAGGCGGCAGCGACGTGGAGCTCAAGACAGTCACAATTGTGACCCCCATCACATAAGTACTGCTATCTTAGTAAAACGCCTATTGTCAAATCTTCTCTTTCTCGCATACATGCGCGCGCACACACTCATCACATACATACTCACGTGCACGCGAGGCCAAGGACCAGCTCGAGGAACACATCCCTGCTCATCACATACATACTCACGTGCACATCACTGGTACAGGATTGTGTTCACACAGACCAGCAGGCCTGAGCTTTCGATCCCAACCCTGCTTTATTGTTTCGGTATCAGAATGGTGACAGCGCAAGCACATACGTCAGCTCAAGCAAAAATTACAATTAGCTCTCTAGTGTCATCTGGTGTATTATGACGTTATGACTCTCAAGTCAAAAAATATAATCTTAAATCACCTCATGGAAAACGTTACTTTAATCGTCATTGTTTCAATTATTTTTCCCTTCAAAATGATAAACGCTTTTCTATTGTTTTTATCCTCATCACAACGCAAAGTGTGTTAAAATTTGCTGTACGTAGATCGTCACAAGTCGTGTACAATGAGCGATTCGTACGTTTTCCGGGTGACCGTGAACGCACCGTTCGTCACAGCTGAGCTCATAGTCTTGGCTCTGAGCATGCGCAGGAGGGGCAGTCAGGGAGTGTCGACCGGTGCGCCTAATCGGAGGTGAAGCCTCACGCTATGGTTTTGGATTGACCCGGCATCTTTTTGAAACAATGACCCGATGACGGAAATACATGTTTTTCGTAAGAAATGCAAATGAAGTGAACGACTGTTTTGGGAATGAGATTGTCGGACTAGCAGGTCATTTGTTGGCTATCTTTTGTTTGAATGACATCCGAAGGGACTGAGAATTAGTCATTCCTAAAAGACTTTTGTCTGATTGCCAAATCCTCTTTAATTAAGTGTTGAATATCGGGCTGCTTTGTGAACCTTTAGTCATTTAAATAAGTTAATCGTTCATTTATCCAGCTTTCCACAGCTCCTTTTCACGACTGAATGGAAAATAGGATATTTTCACGTTGTTCTAGAGTCACTGTAAAGTGACGTTTAGTGAGAAAAATCACTGGTGCACTTTATTCTGCTGCTACTCTAGATCACCTCATTATGAGTCATAATACCTCTAAACCCATTAAAGATATTGGTTCCATAAACTGGAGGATGTAACAGGCTGGCCGTCCCTTATGCAAACCTCCTAAAACCTGCAAGCAGAGGCACCAGTGAGCAGTCCAAACCATCGGCGAGTCCATTCCCCGTGCCAGGATTCCGTTAGTGAGATGCTGAGGGCCACGGTGGGCTCAGTGGAGGAGCGGGATGATGAGCAGGAGGATGAAGGAGATGAAGAGCTGCGGGACGGAGGGGTGCCTTTCTACGTCAACCGAAGTGGCCTCCCCATGGATGAAGACACCTGGGAGAGGATGTGGCGCCATGTAGCTCGGATCCACCCACACGGGGATGCTTTGGGGAAGGGCATCCGGGGTGCAACTGACCTACCCAAGGTGAACTTTTCAATTAATTTTGGTTCAGAAATATTTGGACCACAGACAGAGTTTTTACGTTTGTGTGTCTTTACACCAGCATAATGGATTTGAATTAATCAACATGGGATTGAAGTGTGAAATACTTTCATCTTTAAAAGGTGTCATCTTAGGTATGAAGTGTGAAATACTTTCATCTTTAAAAGGTGTCAGGTTATTATCCAGTAAATACTTGGATGAAGGTTCTTTACCTGAAGTTCCACTGATGTCACCATTTGGGTTGCTGACTCCACTTTTGTCTATACTGTTTGAAAAGTATGCTCAATTGTGTCTGGATCTGAATGAGCACTGTGATTGGCTAATGTGTGAAAAGAGGTGGGTCTTGGAGAGGATGATTAGTTCTTACATTCCCTCATGAGTACTGTGAGTTATTGTGCAGAGAAACAACCATAGCACAGAAAGGTAGGAAAAAAAAGTTCTCCGAAAGCATGTTGGAAAATCTATGCATGGAAAATCATTTAAAAAACTGCATTTCTCAAAATACTTATTTGCCTGTCTTGTGTCGTTGATCATCTGATGTGGTCCTACACAATAGAAGACTTGTGCTAGCTGTACATACTGTCCATGTGACGTGTACACCAAGTACAGACATTTTCCACCCACTGTATCCTGTAACTGCACGTTGCATGGAGGTCTGCATGTGTAACGCAAACTCCCTTTTGTGTTGCAGATTCCAATACCAAGTGTGCCTACATACCAGCCTACCACCACAATTCCACTGCGCCTAGAAGCCATACAGAAATATATCAGGGAATTACAGTATCCTTTGACAACAGAGCAATGGTTTTTGAGTATATTTAACGATTGCTATACTTGTTGAAATTACATGACAAACACAGATTGCCCTTGTCTTTCTTGCTCCATTTGATTAAAAAAAAGATGGGTCAAAACGTGCATCGAAAATGACTTTAATTCAACACCAATTACCAGCCACGGCTGAATTCATCCATAATTAACTAACCGGCCATGATTATCACAAGACACTTTAATGTATGCTGCCTTAACTCTGACCTACAGATACAATCATACCGGGACACAATTTTTTGAAATCAAGAAAAGCCGCCCTCTTACTGCGTAGGCAAAACTTTTTAATTCTCCGTATGTGTGACTAACAGAATCTTATGCAAGTCTTGACTTTGTATACCCGTACTTAGTATAAGAGGTGATGCATGTGATAAGTGTTTTTGCCGAATATGACAAAACTCAGGAAGTTCTGAGATACCAAACAAGATGTCATGTTAAAGTACAACCATACAGTACACTTTTAGGTATACTAATAAATTCTAAGGTGAAGTATATTTTTATTCATTCAATATCAGTTGGAAGGAACAAGGGGCAAAAGAAGTGATGAAATTGAAATGTTAAAGCTACGTCAATCGTGTTGGGAGAAATGAAAGTCTTTCACTGAACTTAAGTACCAACCTTTAAACATTGTTATGAACTTAAATGACGTATCTTTAAAATGTGTAATGCAAACACCTTATATATCATATACAATAATAAATCTTCAGGTGTTACTTGCCCTCAATATGGTTGTACTGTATTTCATAACTATATTGACACATTTTTTTTACATACATTTGAATGGTAAAATTGTTTTGTGCTGTTATTCTTGTTTCATAACTACTGTGATGTGAAACTCAAAGCATATGGGGTACACTGTCATCTTATTGTCATATTGTGCTGCACAGGTTGATGGACATTGCCAAGGAGATGACGCGTGAAGCCCTGCCAATCAAATGTCTGGAGGCGGTGATCCTGGGAATGTATCTTTACTGCAGCACATTTTTGCTTGATCATCAGTTCTCTAAAGCAGCAGTCCCCAACCATAACTGGGCCACAGGACATTTGATACCGGGCCGCACAGAGAGAGTGAACCAAAAAAATGTTTTATTGATCAGTGTGAAATAAATTTTCAAGCGCATCCACCTGTGACGAACCTCACATGATATACGGTCATAAAACAAATTAAAACCACAAGCTATCAAAGACATATTTGGAGAGCTTTGAACAGAAAAAACGGCCAAAGAATGAAACCAAAGAGCCAACTACTGTCGAGACGATATCCTGTTAAGTCAATCACGCTAGATACTGACTGTTTTTTTTTTTGAACCACCCCCCAGTGCTTACCAATATAGTAAAGGGAGAAAAAGTCTGAGATCTTTGAATACAGCTCGGTAAAATCAAACAAGTTGCTTGACTATTTTTGTTGAGATGAATACAGCTCGGTAAAATCAAACAAGTTGCTTGATTATTTTTGTTTTGTTGAGTCCATTTCCTTGACCAAGCTTGGCAAAGTTACCTCACCAACAGCATGCCGGCTGTGGAGCGTTTCCCCCTCAGCTTTAAGTCTCAGTTCTCAGGGACCCACTTCTACCACATTGTGCTGGGAGTCCACAGCGGCGGACGCTTTGGTGCGCTGGGCATGAGCCGGCGAGAGGACCTCATGTTCAAGCCCCTGGAGCACCGCTCTCTGATGGACTTGGTGCAGGACTTTGAAGGGGCCTATAGGGGCTATTGGCACACCCTGCTAAAGGTAAAGATCGGCCAGTACGTGTCGCACGACCCTCACAGCGTGGAGCAGATCGAGTGGAAGCACTCCGTCCTGGATGTAGATGGGCTGAGCAAGGGGGAGCTCCGGAAAGAGCTCGAGAGGCACACTCGAGACATGAGGCTCAAGGTAAAATTGAGTTCAGTACCCTTCATCTTGATTTGCCACACGTTTCCAATGTTTATGTGTCATTTAGGGGCGCTAATAGCTAAATGAACTCTGTAAATCTGATTTCCTTCATTTTTCAGCAGCAACTGGTGTGAAAGCGCAATATAAATAAAGATATATTGTAATACAGGGGTACGCTCAAGTTCTTCCATCAGGAGGGATTTTATTCTTCTTGAGTATAGTGAACCCATGCCATTCTTGGAACTGGGCTGCTCTGCAAATCCAGAAAATCTGCAAATTATTATAATTGCACTGGAAAAGAAATACAGTACTCAGTAAACTAAATTTGGGGCGGATACTGCCAGTAAGCGTTTTCCATGAAAAACAAGTTGGCTCCCCAGAAATGAAAACAAAATGTAAAAAAATATTTGAAAACACACACACACACACACACACACACACACACACACACGTATATAGAGAGAGACAGATTTTTTTAATGCGCAAATGGTCCCCTGTATTTCGACAGCATTCCATGTTACATCCCTGAAGACGAATCATGAAACTGAGTTGACCTGCAATTCCTCTCCAACGATGCAGTAACCCACCCCCACCCCACAACCACCACCCGCTGCCAGCCACATGATAAACAAATGATGGCAGCCTTGCTACTGAGCTCTGCATGTAATATGACTAATGTGGCGGCTGGCTCGGAACACTTTCTCGTACAGCTTCTCATATCATCAATCGCCGCTGCGTTTTACAGCCAGCACTCAGCGCAATGACATTACCTCTCGTCGATCACGGTTACATTTTGATGAGGGCTGGGCATTTTTTGTCTGCAGATAGGAAAGCCTGCGCCTCCTTCTCCCACCAAAGACAGGAAAAATAGCATGGGCTCACCACTCAGAGGACAAGGAAGCCCCATTCGCAGGGTCAGCCGTGTTGAGAGACGGTACGATTACCCATTGCATGCTTGTGGTTTTACCTAATAACTGACTATTGACGATGCTAAACTTGTTTTCGTTTCAGTCCATCTGGAGAGAAAAAGGCTTTGGAACAGAAAGCATCTGGAGAGATGAGCGTGTATCAGATTCGAGTGTGAAGAATATTTTTTTCGTTTCTTTGAAAAAGCCACTGATGAGGCTTCATCAATGGCCGACATTGGCCCATTGTCAGGGTGCAAAATAGGGAACCACCACCCTTCTCCTCCACATCCCAAAAAAAGCCTCATTCACTGTCAAGTTGTCATGTTTTGTTTAATTACTTCTAGAACATTGTATGTGCATAACTGGTGCTGTTGCGTGTAAACATTTTTACTAACTTTATACAATCAGTGTATGTTACATTAGCGGAAAAAAGGTAAGGGTATCAATCAGCATAAATGTGCTCCTTGACATATCAATGTGTGTCATTGTACTGTAAGTGTGGACTACTTTCTGTGTTGACTACAAATTACCCCCTGTGCCTTGTGACCAGACTAAAACAAAACAGAAGTCCTAGTCATCACCTGACTAAATGCAAATTAGAATTTTCATACTTTAGTATGTAAGTGTTTCAAATGTCAACACCTTCAAGGATGCATGCTTAGAGAGCTATGGACCTTAGTGACACATCATTGTGAATATGTCATTCTTATAAAGAGAAGGGTTGAGTAAATCAAGGACAAGGCGCACCATTTAGCATACTGTGGATTTTTCTCTCCCACTTGTTCTCCAGCAACTTTGCTCATGTACTGTATATAAACATGCATTCTTTGTAGCAATTTTTTTTTATTTTTCACTTGCCTTAAAAAGTGACCACTTCCAAAAAGATGTCAAGGTATTAGTTGATGGCACTTTTTATCCTTGTAGTTTTGAGAACTGCTGCGTTCTGCTGTTTTATATGTCAACAGTTGTCATCTGTAAAATATTGCACATTTAAAACATGCGATTATCAATAAATTGCCACAGACATGTTTGCGTCTTGTCTTTTGTTTGAGTGATCAACGAATTGTACCCACGCATAAATTAGTGGACATCCACTGATTGGCTACTGCAGTTGGTGGATAGCAGCCAACTTTGATATGTAAAATACACATGAAGGATTGTTCTTGGGTTGAGAAAAATGCTGATTTATTTCCAACAGAGTAAAAAAAAAAAAGAGCAAGCTTCAATAAACAAATCTCTAACCTCCATTCTTATGGTCTCAAGATGCCAAACACTCGAACAGTGTTTATGACACAGAGAAACAGACGCGGCACCCTATTAGGAAGAAAAATCTACTGACCCACTTCTTTCTTCCTTGTACATATTAGATGCCACACAAGCAATGCATACAATACATGCAGCAGTTTTTCTCACAACTGATTTATACCATTCTGAAACCATTCAAAAGGGAAATCACTAAGAATGATTCTTCTAATGAAAACATTTTTTATGAGGACTGCAAATAGAGGTCAACGAATGCATGCAATCAACTGAATGATCCAGGTTTGAAAAAAGTTGCACACTAACATATCCTCACTGAGGATAGGATGGAGGGGCAAGCAACATTTAGGTCAAACTAGCACACACACATTGAAGTACACATTCATGAGATAGTCTTTGGTACACCCAGCAGGGATTGCTTTTTAACAGTCACCGTTTTGTCCTCAAGGCTTACTTTTGCTTGTCTGATCTGATTAGATAATGCTTGAATATGTTACAACAGAGTTAGATCCAGAGGTATTAGAGCAATGACAAATATTTTATGGTTTTGTCTTCATAGCACGCCATAATTTTATTAATCCGTTCATTATCTGAACTGCTTTCCCCTCACGAGGGTTGCGGGCGTGCTGGAATCTATCTCAGCTGTCTTCGGGCAGTAAGCGGGGGGCACACCCCGAACTGGTTGCCAGCCAATCACAGTTTGTCGATCAAAAATTTACAATCATGAGACACCTTTGTGCATGTGAATGACGGATGAAACTAAGACCAACTTGAATGAATGGAAGAGGTAAGTATGGAGGGCAGGAACCGCTCACATGCCAAAGGGTATAAGCTTATGTGACAAATACAATGGCGGCATCCTAAATATACAAGACTTTGCGAAGGAAAATGCTGGAAACTCAATATTCTTCCACAGCTAATCAGTCCTTGAATCACATCTCCACTGATTCAAATGTGCAGTAGAGAGGCAAAAGTATCAAAATCAGTCATAGATCTGTCAAATATTTCCAGACCCAAGTGTAATTACAGTTTGCTGAATCAAATCTGAATGAAAGCAAATGAAAAAAAAATAAATACAAACATGAATTTACTTAGTACAATAACATTTTGGGGAAATACTTCAAATTAAATAAATTAAATGTGCAACTTGTAAACAGCAACCATAATCTCTACAGTCATGAGTATATACTACACTATATAGAAATATTCTGAACTGTTCCTTCCTTGCTCTTGTGACTCGAACCCAAGTCAGCGCATGCATAATTTAACAATAACACAGAGCAACACTGTCCACACTCTAAAAACAACTGGGTCAAAAATAAGTCAATTTGGGTAAAAATTGGACTGATCTATAATTGAGGCCAAATTTTGGATTGCTTGGTCCAAAACTACTCAGAAATTTGCTTCAAATTGACCCAAGTAGTGGATCGGTCTATTTTTGACCCAACTGTTTTATTTATAGAGTGCAATTTTTACAAGGCCGACACTGCAAAATTTCAGGACTAACCGCTGAATAAAATTCTATCCAAAGGCCTTTTTTTCTTTTTAACACGCTGGTACATTTAAGGTCATCCGGAATTTAGCCACAAGACTGAGATGATCAGATGGGAATATGTAGTTGGGAAGACCATTCATGGAACACAAGGTTTCCTCAGAAAGCAGTGAGAGATAGCCAAGCAACTTCAGACCTTCACAGCCAAATTTGCCTGGTAAGAAAAACAAAGAAACGTGTTGTAGTATTGTTAAAATAATTGTGCAAGTTTAGAATATGATGTGCAACAATGACGGATTCCCCCAATACCTGCTTGATCTGAGATGTGCTCAGGGGAATAGAAGATGTAGTCCACAGTGGACCCCCCCTCAGAGTGCAGTGTTGTGACTTCTGGGTGGCCAGAGTGAGGGAATCTGTGTTTATAGGTGGACTCCAGGTCTAATTGGTGTCTGATTATGTGTTGAAATCTGTCACACACAAACATGACAACATACAAATTCTTTTGTGCATCATAATGAAGAAAATTTCTCTTTAAGGCCAAGTCGACAGTATTTAGGTTGAACGAACCTAAAAGCTGAATGATTTCTGCTTGACGCCCCTTAAAAAGAAAGAAAGAAGAAATTCAGTCAAGTGTATATTCCGCATCGGAGGGGGCGCAGGCGGGTATTTCTGCAGCGTATTGCACTACCTGGATTGTTGTCAGTGACACCAGGAATTAACGGTAAACCACATGGACGAACGCAAGAAAGTGGACAAAAGCGCAGTTCCAAGAGCGAGTCGAGGCTGTAGCGACGTCTCCCTGCAGGAGATCCTTGAACCATTGGAGTCAAACAGTAATTCGGATTTGTCATTGATTGTTATATTGCTCATACAGAACACAAAGCAGGCTCAAACGCTGACCTGTGACTGGACTGTGGCTTGCATCCACCTCACTGGAAGAGACATACTGACAGCTGTCAGAAATTCCCAGACAGGCGGGCCAGAGAGGAGCGCATAGTATGTCACACGGGGCTTTGTGTGAAAGATCTTTCTGACCTGACACCTGTTGTATATAGGAAAAGGGAAAATGAACAGATCAAGCCATCCCTCAACATTAAGTACCATACATAACTCACTTAAAAAAAAAAATCAAAATTATTCTTAAATATGAGCTCTTTGTATTTTTATTGAAAAACATGAGAACATGGCAGCCTTTAGCACATCTGCCTCACAGTCCTGAGGCTCAGGGTTCAGTCCCAAACTGCCAATGTACCTAATGGCCTGCCCATTAAGCGTACATAATGTGATTCCGTAGTTGAGTCTCACCATCCATGCCGGCACACCCTGGAAGTCGAGCTCCCCAGTGGTGATGAACTGGTAAAGAGGCATATGTGGCACAGAGTTGAAGTCCCCGCACAAAACAACATTACAGTGTTCACCTTTGGCCTTCCACAAGTTGACCACACTGTTGATCTCTGCCAGCATTATGGCCAACTGAGCCAATTTGATATCACCCCTCCTGGGATTAAACAGCAGGTGTGTGTTGGCCACACATAGCAGGGAACCCTTCATCCTGTCCTTGGACCCCTGACAGACAACAGGTTGAAGCACCACAACTATGCCCACGTTGTGTCGGTCCAGAAGTTCAGTTTGGGGTCTGAAGAACTCTATGGGTGTGACTGACACCTCAGAAAAGCAACTGCTGCGATAGCAAGTCGCACAGCCATCTGTCTTGTTCCCTGTGCGCCGCTTGTAGACACAGTTGTAGCCTGGACAAGCACCAAAGGAACACTTTCGTAAAATCTGTAACTTGATATCCATAAACATGTCTGGGTGTAAGTGCTGTACACACATAACGACAATCTGGCGAAATGTGAGCACCTTCCATCTCTTACGCTAAATGTCAGGAAAGGCCCGATTGTCTTTAAAAGTTGATATTCCACCAGATGCCACCCAAGTACTAATTACATTGATTGCTTGGGTGGCGACTTCTTTTTTTTTTTTTTTTTTTTGGTCAAAAATCAGTATGTGCAGTTTAAGACTCACCCATCTGAGTCAGGAAAGGATGTAGCTGCGTTTGGTAGTGGTTCTCCTGGACCTCTTGAAGACAAAGAATCTGAATAGCAACGTAATGTGTGGGTTTGATCGCGTATTATTAAGTACTTAAGTCAACTTTTTTTTAATATCTTAATAGTTTGTGGAGGTTTATCTTAAGATGTGCCTTTGTTAACTTTGTGTGGTATTTGACTCACATCTGGCATCCATTTCTGTATGTCCTCCAAAAGCAGGCTGCAGCGGTTGCTCCACTCCAGTACCTCTGGAGAGCAGTGTGCGTAGAGCTCCATGTTGGTCTCCAGCAGGTCCTGGGCCAAGATGTTGTAGGACATGACAGTCAAGTCCATGAAAGGCTTTGTGAAAGGCACCGCAGTGCCGGATTGCTCTGATGAAATGTCTTGCCACAACCGCCAGATTACTGTTGGAATCGATAATTGCATACGTTAACCATTCAAGAATACTAAATTAATCTGTGAAGACAGTTCAAGGAAGATGCCACAATCGTACCTTCAAAGGGTGTTGTCTGCTCCAGTGAAGGGTAATAGCTCAGAGTAGGAAACTGCCAGCGCGGGCAAAAGATTTCCTCTCTACCACCAGGTCCCGCTGGAAAATGCCATCCGCTTGGTGTCTTGCATTGATTTTCAGGACAGGAGAGAAGTGATGTCTGCATTGGAGTTGAATTCGTTCCACCAGTGAGCATTACATCAGCATATTCATCCCAGTACTCTGTTTGTTGTTCAATGCCCACAGCTGCATTTCCCGAGTCTTCTGAGCTTTCCATCCTCGCAAGAGCCCCCATAAAACAGATGACACGTAGGTCATTGTCTTTCGCTACAGTTTCTTCACAGTTGGGTTGCTTAAGTCCATAGTGCATTTGCCCAACTTCTTCTTCTTCTTCTTCTTTTTTATCTTCTTCTCCCTTTGAGTCGTTCCCTGTCACTGCATATCGGGCCTCACTCATGTTTGAAGGTGCCTCCATCTTGGTGTGTTTGGAACTGACAGGTAGCTCCCGTTTTCCATCTGGTGTCTTGTTTTCTTTATCGGAGCTCTTGTCTTCCTTACCGGATAATTGTACGCTCTCCTTTTTCTCCTTTTGTCCTGTTGACAAATTGCTTTGGCTGAGCTGTTGTCCCGGCGGAATTTTCGGAGACTTGAACATCGGACTTGTGGCAGCAGCACTCTCACACACCAACATGCCATTGACAGCTACAGAAGGGCAACAAAGTGCAGGATTCTTGACAAAGGTGAATAGTGATGCATTACATTTACTGTGACACATTTACTTCAGTAACTTTTGGGATAAAAAAATAAAAAATAAAAGAATTAAAAAATATATTTTTAAATTTGCTTGCTAAAAATTGTGCTTTTTTTTGTTTGTGGGAATTAACAGTCATACAATACATTCTTATTCGCTATGGTGATGGACGGGTTGGCAGACGATGTTAGACAGGAATCTATGGACTATGACGTTTGCAGATGACATTGTCATCTGTAGTGAGAGCAGGGAACAGAGGGAGGAGAAACTACAGAGGTGGAGGTTTGCCCTGGAAAGGAGAGGAATGAAGGTCAGTCGCATTTGATATGTACTTGGGGTCAACTGTCCAGAGCAATGGAGAGTGTGGAAAAGAGGTGAAGAAGCATGTACAGGCAGGCTGGAATGGCTGGGAAAAAAAGTGACAGGTGTGATGTGTGATAAAGGACTTTCAGCTAAGATGAAAGGAAAGGTGTATAAAACTGTGGTGAGACCAGCCATGCTGTTTGGACTGGAAACAGTGCCACTGAAGAAAAAACAGGAGGCAGAGCTGGAGGTAGCAGAGATGAAGATGTTGAGGTTCTCTTTGGGAGTGACCAGGTTGCATAGGATTAGGAATGAGTACATCAGAGGGAGAACTCACGTTAGAGGTTTTGGAGAGAAAGTCAAAGAGGCCAGACGGAGATGGTTTGGACATGTCCAGAGTAGAGAGAGTGAATGTATTGGTCAAAGGATGCTGAGTCTTCAACTGCCAGGCAGGAGGCCGAGAGGAAGACCAAAGAGGAGGTTTATGGATGTAGTGAAAGAGGACATGAAGGTTGTTGGTGTGAGAGAAGAGGATGCACAAGACAGGGTTAGATGGAGGCAACTGATTCGCTGTGATGACCCCTGAGGGGAAAAGCCGAAAAGAATGAAAGAACAAGTCATGGTCAGAATTCTTTGGTCCCCGCTTTGTTGGCTTTAAAAAAAAAAAATAGGAAATGCATAGCAATTTTTAATTTCAGGGAGAGCATTAATGAATAATTGATTGTTTCATTAAATAATGTACTGCTAATCGTATTTGGCCAAGTTTCCAAAGGTTGTGCACACCTTTGCACATAAAACTAAATCATTTATGTTAAATGTGGTATCGTTAACACTTTTATCCAGTCAATTATTTGGACACAATTTGTGTTATCGAATGAAAGGCCTATCGAATATGTTTCTTGTATGTAAATTTCAATTTAGTGTGTTTCCACTTTCCTCAAAACATTGCCACGCGCTGTCGTGACGTCACAAGCAAAGATCTCTTCTAATAGGTGCAGGCTAACGAGTTAGCATATCCTGTCCCACAACCTCGACAGCTTGCGTCCCTAAAATAGTACTTTCTCCACACCCGCGGTGTTTTTTACAGTAACAGTACAGTAGGGTTACTTTGTGCGAGGGAACAACTGTGTCCAAAACAACAACTTTAACTCGCGCACGTGACAATAGCTATCAATTCAGCAAACAAAATGCATTATAAACTTAGCGCTAGCGACCTAGCCGTGTTTGTATCGCCACGCATTGGACAAAGGTGGACATAATGTTTGCATTAAATACAATACAGACGCATGCTTTCTTTCCAGTTGTGCTTACCCCAGGGTCGTCTAAGCAAGTAACGGGATAGCGGATACAGAGCGTAAAATAACAGGCAGCCGATCATGCTTGTTTTCTCCAGTTTGCGCGTGCGCGATCGGAGCTCACTTGGAAGCCTTTGCATCCAGAGTAGTACACATTACGTGGCTCAATTATAAGTTTCCACATTAAAGGAAACGTCAATACACTGAAGGTACTAACTCACCAGAGAAATGTTCGCAAGCTTAGCTGTACTTAACTAAATACTTCGTTTTTTTTTTTTTAACATGAACCAGATTTTGTGATCATTCTCATCGGGTTTAATTGAACGGTTAACTATTAAGTTTATAATCATCGGATAAACCATGCTTAATACACGTGCAAATCACTATCTTGCACTAATGCAGTGCAGGCTTTGTAACCGCTGTTACAGCACTTAACAGTACAGTATATGCATGTAATACAGTTTGCTCAAGTTCAGCCTTGAACATGTACTATATACAGTACACACAAGTTTACAAGTGTTTCATGTTTTTCTCCATCTTAAGTAAGGGTGTCCCCACTTATTGCATTCACAGCACTTTATAGGCTACTTCATTTAAGTATTGCCCTCTTTCAATATAAGTATCCCCAACAGGCTTTGTTGAATTTACAGCACTTTATATGTATCCAATTCTCAACTCAACTCAACTGTAATTTTAGAGTTTTCAGGTCATCAAACCAATTTTAATATCACACAGACAACCCAAGGAAATACAAAATGCAGTTTCTAAATACAGTACCTGTGTTGTCTCTCTAATCATATAATGAAGGAGACGAGGCGTGTTGGATAGAAATGCTGGGTAATGGAGTTTTTATGTTATTTTACCCATAACATCACAGTACCAATTTACTTTATTGAGGCAGAAGAAAAACCCAAACCTACATGTCCCTATGTGAAAAGGTAATTGCCCCCTAAACCTCATGATTGGTAATAACTTGGCAGCAATAACTGAAATAAAGCATTTGCAATAATTGGTGATGAGTCTTTCACATTGCTGTGGAGGAATTATGGCCCTGGCATCAGAAAGGAAGGTCCACTCCTGCTACCTGCTGGAGACTATACAGCACGGAATCATGACAGGTGTACTCACTTTTGTGGGATGTTTTATATATACAGCATTCAGTGGTCCCTTGATATGCCGCCATTAATATTTTTCTATAGACTGTATATACAATGAAATGAGCAAATATAAAATGTCATGAAATTCTAGTTACTCAGACTCTGAATAAGTCCAAGATGATAGATTATTTAGTGCAGTATGCAATAATAATCACACGTTGGCTGACAGATAGAATTACACTAAGGTGTTTTATTTCACCTCACAGACTCTGGCATTCATGAAAAATATGCCTCAGTTTGGACAGTAAAGTCTTTGTTTCTTGATTGTATGTTTTTAGTTTCGCAGCTAACGCAAATGTCAACTCTGTCTTTTGAGTCCCTCTCTATAGAGGATGATGATCCAGCGACGACATTGAGACGAGGCTTGGAGGAGGATTTTGGCGCAGACTTAGACGGTGAGCACATTATACCATGGGTTCTTAAACGCAGATTATGCTGATTATACATTTTTTGGATCAGCGAATGCATTTCTGAACATTATATTCATCCAAATGTTCTTTCACTGCCTAATGCACTGCCTTTGTGTCTGCCTTCCATGTCACGCTGTAAATGCCCCTTGCTGTTTGATGCACTGTGCTTTCAATAAAACAGAACAAGAAGTCAGAAGCAATAAAACGTCTGTAGCTGATGTCTACCTACAAGCCTGCAAGCTTCTGGGTGTTGTTCCAGTCTCCTACTTCATCCGGAACCTTGACTCTCGCACCATGACCCTCAACCACCACGGCCTTGGACCGTTGGGGTGCAAGGCACTCGCTATTGCCTTGGTGGTGAGTCGCAAAATGTGAGCATGTCACTAAGAGCAACATATTTAAAATGTACCTATTGATTAGCACGTCAGCCTCACAGTTCTGAGAGTCAGTGTTTGAATCTCGGCACCGGCCTTCCTGTGTGGCGTTTGCTTCTTCTCCCACATTCCAAAAAACATGAATGTTAGGTTAATTGAACAAGCTGTTTGTCCACCGGTTTGAATGCTTGTTTTGTCTACATGTGCCCTGTGTGTGCAGGGTGTAGCACACCCTTTCGTCCAAAGTCAGTTGTGATAGACATGATAGAAAAGGGACGGATGGACATTAATGATGAGTCTTTTGTGTTCAGAGTGACACGCATCTCAACACTCTGGAACTGGCAGACAACTACATCCAAGCAGAGGGAGCCAAGGACCTGTCAGAGATGCTGAAAGCTAATTTCACCATTCAACATTTGGTATGAAGAAAATGTTAATAATAATCATTGATAAATAATAAATGTATTTTATAGTCAGTGTCTGTGCATATGTGTATGTATACATCTTCTAGGACTTGTCGGACAACCATCTTCATTCTTCTGGAGCTGAGTATGTGGGTAAAATGTTGCTGGACAGCCTTTCACTAAAATCGATCAAACTTTCAGGTAATGTACACTATATAAATATCTTAATGTTCAAAGTAAAATATTATCTATCTATCTATCTATCTATCTATCTATCTATCTATCTATCTATCTATCTAGCTATCTAGCTATCTATCTATCTGTCAAGATTTCATCATTGTCATGTTTTTTTTTTCCATCCAACAAGGAAATGGATTTACAGATGATGATGCAAAGTATTTTGCAGAGGCTTTGTCTGTGAGTAGTTGATCCAGCTACATTGGACAGAATTCCTTGTGCTCTATTCTTAAGTTGCGTTCATTTTTACCCGAAGGTCAATGTAAGTATGAAGGAATTAGATCTCAGCCATAATAAGTTTTGTGGACGAGGAGGGGAGCATCTAGGACTGTTGTTAGGTATGCAAACACTAACTCACCTCCATGCTGTCACATTTGTGTGGATAGTTAAACATGAAGTCCTTTTTACAACGTGAAGTCGTATTTACAGCAAACAACGAGTGTCTGGAGGTGCTGAACCTTTGTTGGAATCAACTCAGAATGAAAGGAGCTGTTGCTCTCAGTGCCGGACTCAAGGTATTTGGGCGATCACTGCATGACAATACCTTTGGCCTTACATCATACTCTCATTGTTCTTTTAGGGGTACACTAGATTCATATTGTGGCAGTATTACAAACAGGATTCTTAATAATCATCTCGAATTAGTGTGGTGCCAATCCAAATGCCATGTCCCCGATGCCCATTTATTATAAAAATAAACAATTTTACAAATCTCACATCGACCTTTTTTTTTTTTTACCTTATCTACAAATGACTTGGGTCATCTCTCTGTTTTAAAAATCAAACGTGGACCTTGAGCAATCATGTTTGCCCACAAGGGGTAGAGTGCACTTGTAGGGACATAAACGGATTTCAGAGTGGAATATTCTTTTTTTTTTTCCCTATTTAGGTGAACACGATGTTAAAGCACCTTGACCTATCATGGAATGGTTTTGGGAATGAAGGGGCCCTAGCAATAGGCGAAGCTCTGAAATTCAATCGCACTCTGGTGCACCTCAATCTCAACAACAACCGAATCACCAATGGGGGTGTCAGCATGCTCTGCAGGGGCCTTGAGTACAACGACACCTTGCAGGTGCTGATGGTGAGTAAAATAGTAACCACCAGTCTACATTCTGTGCTGTCTTATCCAAAATCTTGTTTTTTAATTTCTCCTCCAGCTGGCTTACAATTCACTAACAGTAGAGGGTGCACTGTCCTTGGTCTATATGGTGAAGAAAATGCCTAAAACTTCCTTGGAGGAGATTAACATCAGTGTAAGTGCATCTTTTCACATCCATTCGACATATTAATAATAGTAGAAGTCCTCAATGACATGAATTATTTCTACATTTTCCACCTCGTTTTTTTTTTTTTTCCCCCAAGCAGAATGTGTTGGTCAATGAAAACTTTTTACATCTGCTGGAGGTGACTTGCAAAGAGCATCCTGGTGTGAATGTACAATATGCAGGTGTTGGAGGGTTTATTGCCAAGAAACCATTAAAACGCATCGACCCAATGAAAGTCATCCAGGTTGGTTATATGTCCTCATGAAAACTTGTACAGTATAGCCAATGTCTGTCATCAATTCAACAAGTCACATAATTAGTTTGTGAAAGCATGTATTTAAGTGAAAAGTTTGAAAGTAATATTTACCAAACTGATAATATACAGGGTGTCCCCAAAGTCTCTATAAACTGTGTTTTTTTTTTTTTTTTTGTTTGAGGTATAATTCAGACAGATGAGAGGTCAGCAGCATTAAAAGTTTAGGCTCTGGACTATTTGTTTGAATTCTCTTCCTTTACCTGTAGCTCTTCAATTGACTTTGGAGGAGTGTTGCAAAATTGCTGCTCAGCAATAAGTTTTTCTGTTCCCAAAAGTCACTTTTGAGAAGCTCTGTGGTCCAAATGCTCCAATGTGTGGTTTACTTTATACCAGGGGTAGGGAACTCCGGTTCCTCGAGAGCCATATCATGCTTATTTTAGATCTCTCTCGACTTCAACACACCTGATTCAAATGATCAGCTCATTGATCAAGATTTGTAGAGGCCTGAAACAATTGAATCAGGTGTGTTGGAGTGGGGTGGAATCTAAAACTAGATATGGCTCTCGAGGAACCGGAGTTCCCTACCCCTGGGTTCCCTTATTCATGGCAAATTTCTCAAAACAGGATTTGTTCTTGACAATTAATGCAGCATAAAGGTCCGATATTCCCGAAAACATCAAAATCTGAGAGCAGAAGTTTGCGCAAAGCCAGGAAAAGTCCATCCAGAGGGCTGCAGTGGAAGTCATCATCTACAAAAGCTTGACTCAACGGATGCTTCCAAGAGTAATAAAGCTTGAAGTCTTTTAGTTTTAACCACCTGAATTTGGTACGTAAATTGTATTACACGTCGGAGCAGTTTGACAGCAAAAAAGCTTCTCAAACTGGCACTCAACTGTTGGAGAAGAATAAATTCTTGTCACGTGACATTTTTTGCAATGCTGATTGACGTGCTAACAAAACCCGCAAAGCCTAGTTGTCAAATGCCTTTTGGGACACGCATTCTATCAATCGGGCTCATCTATATGTATTTTGCTCCTATTGAAGGACTATCTGAATCAACACAAGCTACGTCTGTGGGATTTCTTCCGAAATATTGACAAAGATGCCACAATGCGAGTCCCTGTGATTGATTTCAGGAACGCAATACAGGTTTGAACATTTACTGGCCATTTTATTGGCCAAGAATGCACTATGGGTTGAGCACTAAATGGTTCAGAAGTCTTGGATTGGATCATCTTGGATTTGACTGTATTTCAAATTGGCCTTGTCTTGACCACAACACTGTCAGTCATATGCACTTTTTGCATATTCCTGTTTTCACAAGTTGACTAACAAAACATTCACTGAGGAATTTAGGAATAATATCCTATTTTGCAATATAAAAAGAAGTAATGGGATCTTCCAAAGTTCCAAAAACAGGCAATGAAAATATAACAGAAGACACAGACAACCATATTCCCCTGCCCAGTGCAAATCACATACATAATAATGTGTTCAATGAATTCATTTTTACAATGATTAAGGGGGGTTGATGCATGTTGTTGTCATATTTATGAATTAAATACAATGACATCCATCACACATACAGTATCAGCGGAGCGCAGAAACTGCCTGCGCCTGGATCAGATTCACCAAAATCACATTCCATCACCTGCACCACAATTTAGACCTGGTTTCGCCTAGTCTAAAGTCTGCTCTGCTTTCCGTCACCAAATTGTGAGGTGCTCTGGGGTGTGTAAAAGAAAATGCCGTTGGTCTGCCAGAACACCGAGCAAGGCACAATGTCAATGTCGTTTGGAAATTTCTGAAAATTCCCAAAACATGATAAACTACACTTGCCCCTGCAGGAAAATGAACATGTGGGTGTTTTTACGTCTACCGCACATGCCCTTGTCCACGAAAATAGAGCCACGACACTTAATATATTTGTTCTTGCTCTTATAACAGCAATCAAGTGTTCCCTTGGATCGATTCCAAATTGAGGAGCTTATCCAAAGGCTGGATCGCGACAGGACAGGAATGGTGGACTACAGGTGACTATGCCCCATCATTTTTGCTGATATTTTCATTTACATTGCTCCTCTTGGTCAAACAACTGGTTTTATTAGTGTTTGACTTATGGTATGATGCCGTCGAACTGTTTAATTTATGGCCCTGTTACATTATATAGTCACATTCGCTGATGTTGCTGTATGGCACAGAGATTTTTGTGCACATAGTAAAAAACAAACAAAAAAAAAAGTTAAGTATTCCCGCCTGGGGTTAATTCACTCTTTTAACTGAATAAACACATTATAAAATGATGGTTATGATTAGTTAATGCTTAACATTTAGCTTGATTCCATGGAGAAATAAAACAGATGCTTTATTCAAGAACGTTAATGCTTAACATTTAGCTTGATTCCATGGAGAAGTAAAACAGATGTTTTATTCAATAACTTAACGAAATTCTGACACCTTTCCTAAATTACATAATTAATTTATTGGACAAGGAAGCTAATTCTATAAGCGGATGTTCAAAATGGACCCACCATGCTTCACTATTGCGGTAGTGGAGCCGCTCAACCAACCAAGAGAATATTAGTGTAATCAAAAATGTATAATGTAAAATAACTACAGTGAATGTGATGTGGTGATTTGCTCGTAAATTTACTTAGACTATTAATTATGGAATTTTGCCCTCTTGAGCCGAACGCAAATTCTGTGTATGAATGGCAAGAGGAGGATACCGAATTTGATTGTCCATTCTCCCATCTAAAGCAGATTAAAAAAAGCATTTCAATGTTCTACCTATCACTATACGATGCTGGCATCGATGAAAAAATATATTTCTAGTAAATAAATAATTTTATTGGAAAATTTTCTGTGGCACACATGATGATTTCTCTTGGCACAAAATGGCTGGGGAAAAAAACGCTATAAAAAGCTAATGGATGTGAAAATATGCACTTACACTTATGTTAATCTCCTCCAAAGAAGTTTTAGGCATTTTCTTCAACCACATGTGAGTCTCTCCGATTGGGAGAGTTGAAATTCCGAAAGTGTATCGTAAAGCAGTGCTGATGCTTCTCTGCAGGGGACTGGTCGATACCAGGAAGCAGATGATGCAGAATCACCGCCGACAACTGCGCAAGGTCGCATCCCGTCTGAAGAAAGAGAAGCGTAAGAGCGACCGCATCCTCAAGACCTTCCAGAACGCTGTGGAGGCAGTGACACCACACGGCTCTGCGGTCATCTCTCCAGAGGACACCAAAGAAGATTCCACTGGGTCAAATCGCTTTTCGGCCACTTTCCTTAGCTCTCGCCACCACATCGTGATGTCAAACAGTGGCACAATCTCCAACCCCAGCAGTGGCCAAATCCACCTGCCCGTGTTGGCAGGCAGGACGCCACACCGTTTCACCAAGTCTCCAAACTTGCACTCACGTTCTCAACCCAATTTGCAGATTTGTTCCCTTTGGTCTGCCGAAGGCAGGTCCATTCCTGCACGGGCTGTTAGTTCCAATCTAGAAACGGGCCACAGCAAGCTTAAACAACCAACTGTTAACCACCTGACCAGGTCCAGACCTGCTCTTGACACCACAGAGTTTGGGATTAAAGCCAGGAAAGGCAACAAATCTAAAGCGAAGAAACTTGTGGGGAAGTACTCAAAGAATCCAAAGACATTTTAAAAATTTCAGTCAACAATGTGTCTCAATATTGGTGCGATTTAATTCGCTTGACCAGTGGAGGCTGTTTTACTCAGAAAACTGAATAAACACAAGCATGTCGCCATCATTCTGTTGGATACCAGGAGCATTTAGAAATGTAATACGTAAAGTACATTACCGGTAATTTGATTTCATTCCAGGAGACAGGGACTGTATTATAGTTTGATGCTATCAATGGTATGGCTTTGCGTTTGAGGATGGACCGGAAGTTAGCGCACCGTCGTAGCCCAAATGTGGAAATGGTTCGTGCATAGAAACCATTCTGCTACATAACCAAGCAAATATTAGTAAGTGGTGAAAAATACAAATACTTTATTACTGTATTTAAGTTTGAGCAATCATGTTTGCCCACAAGGGGTAGAGTGCACTTGTAGGGACATAAACGGATTTCAGAGTGGAATATTCTTTTTTTTTTTCCCTATTTAGGTGAACACGATGTTAAAGCACCTTGACCTATCATGGAATGGTTTTGGGAATGAAGGGGCCCTAGCAATAGGCGAAGCTCTGAAATTCAATCGCACTCTGGTGCACCTCAATCTCAACAACAACCGAATCACCAATGGGGGTGTCAGCATGCTCTGCAGGGGCCTTGAGTACAACGACACCTTGCAGGTGCTGATGGTGAGTAAAATAGTAACCACCAGTCTACATTCTGTGCTGTCTTATCCAAAATCTTGTTTTTTAATTTCTCCTCCAGCTGGCTTACAATTCACTAACAGTAGAGGGTGCACTGTCCTTGGTCTATATGGTGAAGAAAATGCCTAAAACTTCCTTGGAGGAGATTAACATCAGTGTAAGTGCATCTTTTCACATCCATTCGACATATTAATAATAGTAGAAGTCCTCAATGACATGAATTATTTCTACATTTTCCACCTCGTTTTTTTTTTTTTTCCCCCAAGCAGAATGTGTTGGTCAATGAAAACTTTTTACATCTGCTGGAGGTGACTTGCAAAGAGCATCCTGGTGTGAATGTACAATACGCAGGTGTTGGAGGGTTTATTGCCAAGAAACCATTAAAACGCATCGACCCAATGAAAGTCATCCAGGTTGGTTATATGTCCTCATGAAAACTTGTACAGTATAGCCAATGTCTGTCATCAATTCAACAAGTCACATAATTAGTTTGTGAAAGCATGTATTTAAGTGAAAAGTTTGAAAGTAATATTTACCAAACTGATAATATACAGGGTGTCCCCAAAGTCTCTATAAACTGTGTTTTTTTTTTTTTTTTTGTTTGAGGTATAATTCAGACAGATGAGAGGTCAGCAGCATTAAAAGTTTAGGCTCTGGACTATTTGTTTGAATTCTCTTCCTTTACCTGTAGCTCTTCAATTGACTTTGGAGGAGTGTTGCAAAATTGCTGCTCAGCAATAAGTTTTTCTGTTCCCAAAAGTCACTTTTGAGAAGCTCTGTGGTCCAAATGCTCCAATGTGTGGTTTACTTTATACCAGGGGTAGGGAACTCCGGTTCCTCGAGAGCCATATCATGCTTATTTTAGATCTCTCTCGACTTCAACACACCTGATTCAAATGATCAGCTCATTGATCAAGATTTGTAGAGGCCTGAAACAATTGAATCAGGTGTGTTGGAGTGGGGTGGAATCTAAAACTAGATATGGCTCTCGAGGAACCGGAGTTCCCTACCCCTGGGTTCCCCTATTCGTGGCAAATTTCTCAAAACAGGATTTGTTCTTGACAAATAATGCAGCATAAAGGTCCGATATTCCCGAAAACATCAAAATCTGAGAGCAGAAGTTTGCGCAAAGCCAGGAAAAGTCCATCCAGAGGGCTGCAGTGGAAGTCATCATCTACAAAAGCTTGACTCAACGGATGCTTCCAAGAGTAATAAAGCTTGAAGTCTTTTAGTTTTAACCACCTGAATTTGGTACGTAAATTGTATTACACGTCGGAGCAGTTTGACAGCAAAAAAGCTTCTCAAACTGGCACTCAACTGTTGGAGAAGAATAAATTCTTGTCACGTGACATTTTTTGCAATGCTGATTGACGTGCTAACAAAACCCGCAAAGCCTTGTTGTCAAATGCCTTTTGGGACACGCATTCTATCAATCGGGCTCATCTATATGTATTTTGCTCCTATTGAAGGACTATCTGAATCAACACAAGCTACGTCTGTGGGATTTCTTCCGAAATATTGACAAAGATGCCACAATGCGAGTCCCTGTGATTGATTTCAGGAACGCAATACAGGTTTGAACATTTACTGGCCATTTTATTGGCCAAGAATGCACTATGTGTTGAGCACTAAATGGTTCAGAAGTCTTGGATTGGATCATCTTGGATTTGACTGTATTTCAAATTGGCCTTGTCTTGACCACAACACTGTCAGTCATATGCACTTTTTGCATATTCCTGTTTTCACAAGTTGACTAACAAAACATTCACTGAGGAATTTAGGAATAATATCCTATTTTGCAATATAAAAAGAAGTAATGGGATCTTCCAAAGTTCCAAAAACAGGCAATGAAAATATAACAGAAGACACAGACAACCATATTCCCCTGCCCAGTGCAAATCACATAAATAATAATGTGTTCAATGAATTCATTTTTACAATGATTAAGGGGGGTTGATGCATGTTGTTGTCATATTTATGAATTAAATACAATGACATCCATCACACATACAGTATCAGCGGAGCGCAGAAACTGCCTGCGCCTGGATCAGATTCACCAAAATCACATTCCATCACCTGCACCACAATTTAGACCTGGTTTCGCCTAGTCTAAAGTCTGCTCTGCTTTCCGTCACCAAATTGTGAGGTGCTCTGGGGTGTGTAAAAGAAAATGCCGTTGGTCTGCCAGAACACCGAGCAAGGCACAATGTCAATGTCGTTTGGAAATTTCTGAAAATTCCCAAAACATGATAAACTACACTTGCCCCTGCAGGAAAATGAACATGTGGGTGTTTTTACGTCTACCGCACATGCCCTTGTCCACGAAAATAGAGCCACGACACTTAATATATTTGTTCTTGCTCTTATAACAGCAATCAAGTGTTCCCTTGGATCGATTCCAAATTGAGGAGCTTATCCAAAGGCTGGATCGCGACAGGACAGGAATGGTGGACTACAGGTGACTATGCCCCATCATTTTTGCTGATATTTTCATTTACATTGCTCCTCTTGGTCAAACACTGGTTTTATTAGTGTTTGACTTATGGTATGATGCCGTCGAACTGTTTAATTTATGGCCCTGTTACATTATATAGTCACATTCGCTGATGTTACTGTATGGCACAGAGATTTTTGTGCACATAGTAAAAAACAAACAAAAACAAAAAAAGTTAAGTATTCCCGCCTGGGGTTAATTCACTCTTTTAACTGAATAAACACATTATAAAATGATGGTTATGATTAGTTAATGCTTAACATTTAGCTTGATTCCATGGAGAAGTAAAACAGATGTTTTATTCAATAACTTAACGAAATTCTGACACCTTTCCTAAATTACATAATTAATTTATTGGACAAGGAAGCTAATTCTATAAGCGGATGTTCAAAATGGACCCACCATGCTTCACTATTGCGGTAGTGGAGCCGCTCAACCAACCAAGAGAATATTAGTGTAATCAAAAATGTATAATGTAAAATAACTACAGTGAATGTGATGTGGTGATTTGCTCGTAAATTTACTTAGACTATTAATTATGGAATTTTGCCCTCTTGAGCCGAACGCAAATTCTGTGTATGAATGGCAAGAGGAGGATACCGAATTTGATTGTCCATTCTCCCATCTAAAGCAGATTAAAAAAAGCATTTCAATGTTCTACCTATCACTATACGATGCTGGCATCGATGAAAAAATATATTTCTAGTAAATAAATAATTTTATTGGAAAATTTTCTGTGGCACACATGATGATTTCTCTTGGCACAAAATGGCTGGGGAAAAACCGCTATAAAAAGCTAATGGATGTGAAAATATGCACTTACACTTATGTTAATCTCCTCCAAAGAAGTTTTAGGCATTTTCTTCAACCACATGTGAGTCTCTCCGATTGGGAGAGTTGAAATTCCGAAAGTGTATCGTAAAGCAGCGCTGATGCTTCTCTGCAGGGGACTGGTCGATACCAGGAAGCAGATGATGCAGAATCACCGCCGACAACTGCGCAAGGTCGCATCCCGTCTGAAGAAAGAGAAGCGTAAGAGCGACCGCATCCTCAAGACCTTCCAGAACGCTGTGGAGGCAGTGACACCACACGGCTCTGCGGTCATCTCTCCAGAGGACACCAAAGAAGATTCCACTGGGTCAAATCGCTTTTCGGCCACTTTCCTTAGCTCTCGCCACCACATCGTGATGTCAAACAGTGGCACAATCTCCAACCCCAGCAGTGGCCACATCCACCTGCCCGTGTTGGCAGGCAGGACGCCACACCGTTTCACCAAGTCTCCAAACTTGCACTCACGTTCTCAACCCAATTTGCAGATTTGTTCCCTTTGGTCTGCCGAAGGCAGGTCCATTCCTGCACGGGCTGTTAGTTCCAATCTAGAAACGGGCCACAGCAAGCTTAAACAACCAACTGTTAACCACCTGACCAGGTCCAGACCTGCTCTTGACACCACAGAGTTTGGTATTAAAGCCAGGAAAGGCAACAAATCTAAAGCGAAGAAACTTGTGGGGAAGTACTCAAAGAATCCAAAGACATTTTAAAAATTTCAGTCAACAATGTGTCTCAATATTGGTGCGATTTAATTCGCTTGACCAGTGGAGGCTGTTTTACTCAGAAAACTGAATAAACACAAGCATGTCGCCATCATTCTGTTGGATACCAGGAGCATTTAGAAATGTAATACGTAAAGTACATTACCGGTAATTTGATTTCATTCCAGGAGACAGGGACTGTATTATAGTTTGATGCTATCAATGGTATGGCTTTGCGTTTGAGGATGGACCGGAAGTTAGCGCACCGTCGTAGCCCAAATGTGGAAATGGTTCGTGCATAGAAACCATTCTGCTACATAACCAAGCAAATATTAGTAAGTGGTGAAAAATACAAATACTTTATTACTGTATTTAAGTTGATTTCCAAGGTATCTAAACATTACTTTTCTGACAACTTTTTAACTTTTACCCCCATAAATTTGAAAACAGACATCAGTACCTTCTACTCCTTACTTCGTCAAAATAGGCTTGTTACGTTTTTCAACCAGATACCTCCTTATACCACTATTCCTCATTATTATAGTGCAAATCCCTCAGACAACCTTTCAAGGTTGTGCTCGGTCAGAAGCGCCATATGGGGGAATAAAGCTTTTGCTTGGGAATTCTGTCATCTGTTGGACACACCCAACCATTGGCAGGGCTCGTTTGAATTCTGGTGCCTGTGGGTAATTTCAAACTAATGCCCTAATATTTAGACAGTTCCTGTTTACTGAAGATAACATTGTTTCATTTTGACCAGTATCCGAGCAAACAATGCTGTGAAACTGGACAGGTGAAACATCATGTAAGACGTTTAAATGGGCTATATAATCATAGAAGCCTTGGGCCACAGTATCATTCCTGATTTGGCTGTTGCAGAATGATTGTCCCTCTGTATGTCTTTGCTCTACTGGGCTCCACTCTGGCCTGGGGGGTAAGTATATGTCTTCAATTATCTATTGTAATCTTGTTTAATTTCTTAATTTTTTGTTGATTTTTGCGCCTCCATCCCACACAGTATCTTAATGTTTCAGGGTTTGAACCAGTGGCATGAACTGAGTGCGAATGCTGAGGCTGGAAGCGGGGGTGCCGACTCTTGCACTTGTGATGCCTTCTTGCCAAGTTCTACATTTCCCGTGAAAGATCTAGCGGTGGTGGAGCAGGCAGCTGAGCAGATCTCCCACAAGCTGGAGATGGAGATGGGCAAGGTAATCTGATGTGAGAGAACTACAGTGTTCTCATCATTATGCAGATTTTTAAGTGATTTTTTTATGGGTTTTTGTTGTATGCTTACTTACTGTCATGCTGTCATTTGCGAGGGGTAAAACAATTTTTTTTAAAACTACAGTGTTCTCATCATTATGCAGATTTTTAAGTGTTTTTTTTATGGGATTTTGCTGTATGCTTACTTACTGTCATGCTGTCATTTGGGAGGGGTAAAACAATTTTTTTTAGTGTTGCATTCTGTCTATATCACCGATTTTCACCTACTGCTGGAGGGTCTGAAATGTATCTCTTGCAATATTTGGGGGTTCGTTGTGTGCACAAAAATATGTTTAAGAACAATTGACAACAAGACTTCTCCATAATTTTAGATTGAGGACTATGAGATGAAGATGACACAATATGCGGAAAAGATCATCGAGCTGACAAGGGAAATTGAGCTACTGGAAAAGAAACCTGATGCCAATAGTGACGCCACTTTGGAAAACATGGAGCTGAAGATTAAGCAAGTCGAGGCTCTGGTTGAGGATCTGAAGATTTCATTCAAAACCTCTGGCACCGTCTTCCAGTCTCTTCACCAAGAGGTCAGTCCTCAAATGTGGATGCACTTGGACAGAGGACTCGATAGAGAGAATTTGAACATAAAATTAGCATTACTTTTAACCACAATTATACTGATAACCTGGTAACACATTTCTGAATAGCTTTGAGCCATCAGTAATGGGTAGTTTTTAGCCCTGGTTGGATTAAAATCTTGACCCAATGTGTTTGTTATAAATACAGCAGTATTGGGTTTGTCCCTGGTGGAGCCAGCCCAGGGTTTGCTATTCACCCAACTTGGGTTACCCAGCAGTTTTAACAGTGTTGTTTTTGTTTTTTGTTGTTGTTTTTTTTCTCAGATCACAGTCATGGTGAAGAGCCTCGATCAGCTGGAGAAGACCCACGACAAGAATTTGGTTCTACAGACACGCCGAGAGTACATTAAGATCCAAATGGAGCTAGAAGAGTGCGAGAGACGCCACCAAGAGATCTTCAACCCCAACATCGGTATGCTCTACCACACACATTTTATAGATGTGCGTATGTATGAATGAATTGAAGTACATGTTTCTGTCTCTTGGTGAAGGTTCCTGCGATCATACGGGTATCATCAAGGTCAGCAAGCCTCTTGTGAGTCAACTTAATGCTCAACTCGGCACCTCCTACATATACGGAGGATGGGGCAAAGATTCAAAGCCTATTCCTGACAGGGAGTCTATGTACTGGTTCTCTGGAGACTCTTCTATTTACATCGATGACATTAGGTTCTACAGTAATTACAAAAATCTGGTATTGAGAAACCCTTTCCTGCATCACACCATATTAAATGGGTGGAATGGTCTTGGCAGCAATTATATAGTTCGTGGCAACACACTATATTATCAGAAGTACAGTCCGTTTGGGTTGGCTAAATATAATTTTACCAGCATGACATATGATTCCAGGGTGATTCCGGGGGCAAGCTCAACCTTTTCCTATGCCAACTATGAGAATCAGATCTTTGATTTTGCTGCAGATGAGAATGGTCTTTGGGTGACGTATGCCACAGATCAGTCAAACGGCAAGATGGTCATTGCTAAAATAAACGAAGAATCTTTTGGGATTGAGGAAGTATGGGAGACCAGTGTCTATAAACCAGCCATTAACAACATTTTTATGGTGTGTGGTGTTCTTTATGGTGTCAGGACGGTTGACATCCAGAATGAGGAGATATTTTTTATGTTTGACACTAAAACCAAAGAAGAGAAGCACATAAGTATAATTTTTGAGCGCTTCCAGGATAAGTATTCCAACCTGGACTACAATCCAACTGATCAGAAGCTATACATGTACACTAATGGCTACTATGTCAACTACCACCTTTGGTTTAACCACACAGCTACGGCCACAGTCCAACCCCCTTTTGCTCCAACCCAAATCTAACATGTGACCTATTGGAAGAGTCACTGTTTTTTTCCCCCTCACTTCAGCGCTCATAAAATCAAGTATCTCTTTTATGATTAAATGCAAATAAATCATCATATGCATCATCGATGTGTTTCTTTTTGTTTAGTGTGTATCAGGGTTCCATTATTGAAAGACATTAGTCTGACTACTGCAAATAGTGGATGATACTATTATAATTTCTAATCTGCACATATACGTATACATTACAGACATCCATTTTATATAGAGCTTGTCCTCATTAGCCTATCCCAGATGACTTTGGCAAGAGGAAGAGTATACCCATGCTGGGTCATTAGGTATATACAAATATTTAATTCATGTTCCTTTTTACATTTTATAATCTGTAACTAGTTTAATTCTAAGTAACCACTTGATAAAATAAAAACATACTGAATTATAATTAATACTTTCATGTTATTATATACTGTACAATAAATCTATTCACACAAAAATGTCGGCATCATTCAGGTGGCTAACTGGAGCATTTAGAAAGGTATTGTGTTATTATATACAATAAATCTATTAACAAATTTAATGTGATAAATACATTAAAGAAATAATCAATATACTGTACCTTATGTTAGCCAGATTTATGAATTAATGCAACCAACAAAACAGAACATTATATCCATCCATCCATTCCCTGAACAACTTATCCTAGCAAGTTATTGAAAAAAAAATATCAAGGAATACATTTTAATGCAACCAGTGTTAGTCAAAAAGATTAGAACAAAATGTAAACAAAAACACAGTTAAATTCATTCAAAAATATTACATATTGTTATCCAGTTAAATTTATAAACATACAGGGACATTTTTATATAAATAAAGAATAAATACATAAAAATAATAAATAAACAAAATATGACGTATTGTATCCTATCAGGAAGTTTTACTGTACACTGTAGTCCTGGACTATTTTATCAATGAACAGAAAGGGAAGTGACGTGTTTTATTCAAAATACGTCAGGCGGCTCCGCCCACACGCGGCAGTTATGATTTTTTTTTTCTTCCTAATTTTGTAAGCGGGTTATTCGTTAGCAACTAGGTTCAGTTGTTAGCCTAGCACAGGACTCCTAAAACCCATGGCGTCGTATCAACATTTGGTGCAATGTTCGGACACTCGCTTCCAATCTCCGGCGAAGGTATTCGCGATTCTTAAATCGAGAGTACAGAGCGGAGAACAAACGACGTGCGGAGTTGGCGAAGAATACGCCGCGCAAATGAAACCAGCCTTGAGCCGAACACAGAACACCTGGGAACCGAATGAACTACATCACAGGTTTGGTGAGGTGGAGGCTTCGACTATTTCGCCTATAAAGAGTCCCAAGAAAAGCCTTGACGATGCATACTCGGACTATAACAGACAGGCAATGGAGCTTCCACATACAAGCAACACCGTACATCGATTTCGATCACCAGTGACACATTTTATGGAATCCACGGCGGCGTTTCCACTACGCGTCGACACAGACCCAAGTTCAACCAGAGACCCTCGAGAGATTGTTGACAAAAGCGTCACCAGATTCGAGACAGAATTATTTCCTATCGACGCCTGCATGCCTCCGGTGTCCATTTTTCCCCCCGCGAGGAAGAAATCGAGGAAAAGAAAACTGGAGGAGCAGGAGATGAACGCAGTTGGCATCGAGGCAAACGTCACATCAGAAATCGAGGATGACAACATGGAGATTGCAGGAGGATATCGCTACACTCCAAACAAAAGCACATGCAGCATGACAAGTAAGGCGATTTTATTGAACACAGCGTTGCCTTGATTTACGATTTTCTTTCGAGATACGAGCCGTGCCTCTGGGAAGGCGATTGTATTTATATAGCACATTTCGAGCACAAGGTAACTCAATGTGCTTCACACAAGCAAAGACAAAACACCAAAAATGTGTGGGTGTGTGTATGTGCGCCCGTGCGGTAACCGGTCATTCGCGGGATGTTGGTTGCTTGAAAAGTAGATCTTTGGTCAAAAAAGATTGGGCGCTCCTGGTTTAAGCAATGGCTATTTCAACAAAAAGGACCCCAACACATGTAGGCAGACAATATCATAATCATCACATGAATATAGTACTGTAGTCTGTGGAAAAAGGGCCGTTACTGCAGCCAACTGAGTCAAGCAAAAACTTTCTTCGGTAATGATATTGTCATTTGTACACGACTTGTTTTTAGTCAGCCATTTTAATGACTGCACAGTATGTATTGTTTCTAACAGGGTGCACTGTGTCTTTGGAAAAACTCATGTCTCCCGCAAAGATGTTTGCTTACATGAAAGAACGGGTATTCAGAAGAGAGCTAGAGCAAGACAGCGAAGACTGCCAGGAACCAAGTGAACCCCCTAATCAAGGTAAGCAAAAAGACAAAAGTCTATGTCTGCGCACAAACAAAATCTACCAGACCCATGTCCAAAACTCAGTGTTTATTACCGTATTTTAGTTGTCCACACTGGCTACAGATGTCAGAAGCTGCAAATTGAGAGTCCAGTCACCCAGGAGCTTGCTGACAGCCAGTCAGACACATTTAATCCTGAAGAGGACTCTCCCTTCGCTGTAGAATCGGACCATATTTTGTTTGATCCCATCCTCCTCAACCGGCCCTCCATTTCCATTTCCAAGAAACAGAACTCAATGTTCAAGGACAAGCAAAGGCCAAACTTTACAAAAATACCCAATGTGAGTAGAAATATAATATAAATGGAATTCTCTAAAAGGAAAAAAAAACATATATATATGTATATATATAT